TTTCACACGGTGTTGTAAACTCATGATGTCATACGGCGCTGGAAACTCATAGTTTCACACGGTGTTGTAAACTCATGATGTCACACGGCGCTGTAAACTCATAGTTTCACACGGTGTTGTAAACTCATGATGTTATACGGCGCTGTAAACTCATAGTTTCACACGGTGTTGTAAACTCATGATGTCATACGGCGCTGTACACTCATAGTTTCCCACGGTGTTGTAAACTCATGATGTCACGAGGCGCTGTAAACTCATAGTTTCACACGGTGTTGTAAACTCATGATGTCACACGGTGCTGTAAACTCATAGTTTCACACGGTGTTGTAAACTCATGATGTCATACGGCGCTGGAAACTCATAGTTTCACACGGTGTTGTAAACTCATGATGTCATACAGCGCTGGAAACTCATAGTTTCACATGGTGTTGTAAACTCATGATGTCATACGGCGCTGGAAACTCATAGTTTCACACGGTGTTGTAAACTCATGATGTCACACGGTGCTGTAAACTCATAGTTTCACACGGTGTTGTAAACTCATGATGTCACGAGGCGCTGTACACTCATAGTTTCACACGGTGTTGTAAACTCATGATGTCATACGGCGCTGGAAACTCATAGTTTCACTCGGTGTTGTAAACTCATGATGTCACACGGTGCTGTAAACTCATAGTTTCACACGGTGTTGTAAACTCATGATGTCACACGGTGCTGTAAACTCATAGTTTCACACGGTGTTGTAAACTCATGATGTCATACGGCGCTGGAAACTCATAGTTTCACACGGTGTTGTAAACTCATGATGTCACACGGCGCTGTAAACTCATAGTTTCACACGGTGTTGCAAACTCATGATGTCATACAGCGCTGGAAACTCATAGTTTCACACAGTGTTTTAAACTCATGATGTCATACGGCGCTGTAAACTCATAGTTTCACACGGTGTTGTAAACTCATGATGTCATCACTTACTTTCCAGACTCCTTCACTACTAGACCTACGGCTTACAGCCTATACAAGTTGTTGGCCAACTCATCAGTCAAAATAGCCAACAATCAGCAGCAGAACGATTCAAAATGTGCGAGTGCTAAATTTCTTTTCAAGAACCATGTTTTTCGGAGTCAAACTCGATTTGTGGCCGATTAGCCGAGCCGCACTCAGGTCGCTAAAGAGCCGCACTCAGGTCGCTAAAGAGCCGCACTCAGGTCGCTAAAGAGCCGCACTCAGGTCGCTAAAGAGCCGCACTCAGGTCGCTAAAGAGCCGCACTCAGGTCGCTAAAGAGCCGCATGCGGGTCGCAAGCCGCGTTTTTCCGGCCACTGGTCGATGTGACAGAAGAAAACATAGAATTTGAGGGAAAAGCCTTTAAAAATGCAACAAAGTTACATTTTATTTACACCATAACAGGCAAAACTTTACTACCTGATTTTTTAACATCACTCATCAAAATCAATGTTCTTCACCTTGATATTGTGAGTTGAACTGTGCGTAGTGTGAGTTGAACTGTGCATAGTGTGAGTGAACTGTGCATAGTGTGAGTTGAACTGTGCATTGTGTGAGTTGAACTGTGCATAGTGAGAGTTGAATTGTGCATATTGTGAGTTAAACTGTGCATAGTGAGAGTTGAACTGTGCATAGTGTGAGTTGAACTGTGCATAGTGAGAGTTGAATTGTACATAATGTGAGTTAAACTGTGCATAGTTAGAGTTGAACTGTGCATAGTGTCAGTTGAACTGTGCATAATGTGAGTTAAACTGTGCATAGTGAGAGTTGAACTGTGCATAGTTCGAGTTAAATTGTGCATAATGTGAGTTAAACTGTGCAAAGTGAGAGTTGAACTGTGTTTAGTGTCAGTTGAACTGTGCATAGTGAGAGTTAAACTGTGCATAGTGAGAGTTGAACTGTGCATAATGTGAGTGGAACATTGCATAGTTGAGTTGAACTGTGCATAGTGAGAGTTGAACTGAGCATAGTGAGAGTTGAGCTGTGCATAGTGAGAGTTGAACTGTGCATAGTGTGAGTTGAACTGTGCATAGTGTGAGTTGAACTGTGCATAGTGTGAGTTGTATTGTGTACAGTGAAACCTTTAAAATATTCATAGCTTAGCTTCAAATAACCTCACAATAAAAGTGATTTCGAACATAATTTCTTTGAGACCCGTTCATTTCCAGTCACGTGACAGTCTAGGTTTCCACTCGCAATTTACGAACAAATCATCCCCCCCCCCCGAGAATGTCTGTTGACGTTTAGATTGATGCAACCATTCTATCGAGTCTTTCTCTTTAGTAAAAGATAGTATAAATCTATTGAGTCTTAATGCCCACAAGTCTTAAACGGTGTTGTTTGACTCATTCGTGACCTTTGACCTCCCCTCTTACGTCCACACCATATCAGTATTATTTAGCGCCTCACTATGCTCACTGGGTGACGTCACTTAGTGCCCTCCCCCCTAATCTCACATCCTCTGTCTATTTTTGTCTTCACTACAAATCCCGATCTAGGTTATACAGGTAGACACGAATCATGGCTTACAATGTGGTTTACAATGTGGCTTGCAATGTGAGTTGACGACAAGAGCCCGATGCCATCCCACCTACCCTATCACATCCGACCCCATCACCCCCCCCCCCACCATCACATCCCACCCACCCCATTACATCTCACCCACCCTACCAGGGGCAAAAGTGTGTTCTGTCATGTCAGTGGATTTATTATTACCTATGAACATTTAATTTAGTTTTTGATAACTATTTCTTTAGATACTTATCATGGCTTATCATTAAAAATATAGTTTTTTGATAACTATTTCTTTAGATACTTATCATGGCTTATCATTAAAATATTTAGCTTTTTGATAACTATTTCTTTAGATACTTAGCATGGCTTATCATTCAAACATTTATCGTTGCCTGCTTTTCTCCACGACTAACTTAGGTAGGTAATGCATCCAGGTCAGGTGTATAGTGTGATCTCAACTAATATGAGTTGAACTTTGCATAGTGAGTGTTGAACTAATATGAGTTGAACTTTGCATAGTGAGTGTTGAACTAATATGAGTTGAACTTTGCATAGTGAGTGTTGAACTAATATGAGTTGAACTTTGCACAGTGAGTGTTGAACTAATATGAGTTGAACTTTGCACAGTGAGTGTTGAACTAATATGAGTTGAACTTTGCATAGTGAGTGTTGAACTAATATGAGTTGAACTTTGCATAGTGAGTGTTGAACTAATATGAGTTGAACTTTGCATAGTGAGTGTTGAACTAATATGAGTTGAACTTTGCACAGTGAGTGTTGAACTAATATGAGTTGAACTTTTCACAGTGAGTGTTGAACTAATATGAGTTGAACTTTGCACAGTGAGTGTTGAACTAATATGAGTTGAACTTTGCACAGTGAGTGTTGAACTAATAGTGGGGCCTACCCGGTACTTTTCAAAAAATCTTATCTATAAACCGAACATTCTTTAATTAGTTTCTGTACAATAACTGTCGTGAACTATTAAGTGTGTGTGTGAGGCACTTCTGCTTGACGATGCAAACAACCCGCTCCCTCCCGCCCTCTTCCCTCAGTCTAAGGTATGTGCCGACACGCCAGGCAGGTTAGCGTGAGTCGGTATCTTCCCCCTCGCTCGTGCCTCGACTCCCACAAACACATCTAGCTCACTGACGAAGTGACTGCGTCTCAGCCAGACTTTCACCAGCACGGAGAAAGGGGCACGGTACTTATATGGCCAAGCAGTTGGTGCGCACGATTCAAGGGTCTGGCTAAAAATAGCATTTGGCATGCGTTGCTTTGCTGAGAGGGTTAAATCGATTTCTTTACCTTCCTAACTTCGTGAATAGTTTTATTTTTAAATATGTAAAAAAATATATTCATTGTTTAAATCTTGAGCAGGGTAATCATTGTTTGTTGTTCAAATGAAAGGTTGGAGTTATCTGTTGAATCTGACCTTTCAGACAATAGAACAAAAGCACTTACGTTGGAGAGTAAAAGTGTTACTGAAATAAACATAAGGATTCGGGATAGAGGCTTTAAACACAGAGGTAGATGGGATCCACAGATGGGATAGAGGATGACAGTGCTTTAAATACAGTGGCATATAATTTGACATAGAGGCTAACAGTGCTTTAAACACAGTGGCATATACTTGTTGGGATAGAGGCTAACAGTGCTTTTAACACATTAGAATATAACTTTTAGGAAAGGAGCTAACAGTGCTTTAAAAACATTGGAATATAACTGTTGGGATAGAAGCTGACAGTGCTTTAAACACATTGGTATATAAGTGTTGGGATAGAGGCTAACAGTTCTTTAAACACATTCGTATATAAGTGTTGGGATAGAGGCTAACAGTGCTTTAAACACACTGGTATATAATTGTTGGGATAGAGGCTAACAGTGCTTTAAACACAGTGGCATATATCTGTTGGGATAGAGGCTAAAAGTTCTTTAAACACGGTGGTTTTATTGTCTTGAGAATTAAGGCCTACCGCTCAATTCAAACAACTGTTGAAGTTAAATGGCAGATTTGTTTGGTCCATATTTTATGTCTCACATTTCATTCAACTCTTCATTCAACTCTTCATTCAACTCTTCATTCAACTCTTCATTCAACTCTTCATTCAACTCTTCATTAAATTCTTCATTCAAATCTTCCAGTTTTCAACTTTGACAAAAAATTGAACGTCTACTTTGGAAAATCCTCCCCACCCTTTGCACTCCCAACCACCATCTTTGTGCTGCTGCTGCAGTATACACAATGTCCCCATTTCTTGAACTCCCAACCACCATCTTTGTGCTGCTGCTGCAGTATACACAATGTCCCCATTTCTTGAACTCCCAACCACCATCTTTGTGCTGCTGCCGCAGTATACACAATGTCCCCATTTCTTGAACTCCCAACCACCATCTTTGTGCTGCTGCTGCTGTATGCACAATATCCCCGCCTGGTTCACCCCTCTCTGTACCCGTACAATGTAACACACGATGGTTGCTCAACTATAAACAAATCAACTGGTAAACGGATTAAGTATCTGGTCCGATGATTGTGTGGCAAAGCTTTTTATGTTGTCTACACTTGTTGGTAAAACATACGTTAGAACTTAATAATTGTTACATTAATTCATTTGTGTTTTTTTTTTAATACTTAAATAAATACTATATTATCCATTTGTTTTTTAACACACTGATTTTTTTTAACGTATTATTAGTTAAAATTGATTGTTCAAATTTCATTTTAAATCTTTGTCCATAACGTCATAATATTATAAAACAGGATGATACTTTATAGCAGAGATTTAGGGTGGATCTTGGAGCTTTCTCTTGAGCTCACATGTCTGGAGCTCACATCAATTGAGCTCACATCTCTGGAGCTCACATCTCTTGAGCTCAAGTCTCTGGAGCTCACATCTCTGAAGTTCCCATCTCTGGAGCTAACATCCCTGGATTTCTCATCTGTGGAGCTCACTTCTCTGGAGCTCACTTCTCTGGAGCTCACATATCTAGAGCTCACGTCGCTTGAGCTCACATCTCTTAAGCTAACATCTCTGGAGCTGACATCTCTGGAGCCCACTTCTCTGGAGCTCACATCTCTAGAGCTCATATGTCAGGAGCTCACATCTCTTGAGTTCACGTCTCTGCCCCCACACTCAAATGTCACTTGTCACATTGTTGTTTATACAGATGTTTTAAACTGAAATGTTACATGTTGCATTGTAATAAACCGTTGTCTCACATGTCACATTGTTAAATACCAATGTCCAACATGTCACAGTGTTATAGACCGATGACTCACATTTCAAAGTGTTATAGACCGATATCTCACATGTCATATTGTTATAGACGGATGACTCACATGTCCCATTGAAATAGACCGATGTCTCATATGTCACATTGTTATAGACCGATGTCTCACATGTCACATTATTATAGACTGATGTCTAACATGTCACAGTGTTATAGACCAATGTCTCACATGTCACATTGTTATAGAGCGATGTCTCATATGTCACAGTGTTATAGACCAATGTCTCACATGTCACATTGTTATAGAGCGATGTCTCACATGTCACAATGTTATAGACCGATGTCTCACATGTCACATTGTTATAGACTGATATGCCACAGTGTTATAGACCAATGTCTCACATGTCACATTGTTGTAGAGCGATGTCTCACATGTCACAGTGTTATAGATCAATGTCTCACATGTCACATTGTTATAGAGTGATGTCTCACATGTCACATTGTTATAGACCGATGTCTCACATGTCACATTGTTATAGACTGATATGCCACAGTGTTATAGAACAATGTCTCACATGTCACATTGTTATAGACCAATGTCTCACATGTCACAGTGTTATAGACCGATGTATCACATGCCATATTGTTATAGAACGATGTCTCACATGTCACAGTGTTATAGACCAATGTCTCAAATGTCACATTGTTATAGACCAATGTGTCTCATGTCACATTGTTATAGACCAATGTCTCACATTTCACATTGTTATTGACCGATGTCTAGCATGTCACAGTGTTATAAATCAAAGTCTCATAAGTCATGTTGTTATAGATCGATGTCACATTGTTATAGACCGATGTCACATTGTTATAGACCGATGTTTCAAATTTCACAGTGTTATAGACATTGTCAATTGTTATAGACCGATGTCTCGCATGTCACTTTGTTATAGACCGATGTCTCACAAGCCATTTTGTTATAGACCGATGTCTCACATGTCATTTTGTTATAGACCGATGTCTCTGTCATTTTGTTAAAGACCAATGTCTCACATGTCATTTTGTTGTAGAACCATGTCTCACATGTCACATTGTTATAAACCGATGTCTCACATGTGATTTTGTTATAGACCATTGTCTCACATGTCACATTGTTATAAACCGATGTCTCACATGTCATTTTGGTATAGACAGATTTCGCTGTCACATTGTTATAGACCGATGTCTTACATGTCATTTTCTTATAGAACAATGTCTCACACGTCACATTGTTATAAACCGATGTCTCACATGTCATTTTATTATAGACCGATGTCTCACATGTCACATTGTTATAGACCGATGTCTCACATGTCATTTTGTTATAGATCGATGTCTCTATCACAATTTTATAAATCGATGTCTCACATGTCATTGTGTTATAAAACAATGTCTCACATGTCACGTTGTTACATATTAAATATCTGACGTAAGTTTGGTCAGAGAGATAGAGTGTTATGCCATCTTGTCCCCCATCCTTACCTTACCACCCACACCTGGATAGTATGCAATCTTGTCCCACATCCTTACCTTAGCACCCACACCTGGATGGTATGCCATCTTGTCCCCCATCCTTACCTTACCACCCACACCTGGATGGTATGCCATCTTGACCCACATCCTTACCTTAACCCCCACACCTGGATGGTATGCCATCTTGTCCCACATCCTTACCTTACCACCCACATCTGGATGGTATGCCATCTTGTCCCACATCCTTACCTTACCACCCACACCTGGATAGTATGCCATTTTGTCCCCCATCCTTACCTTACCACCCACACCTGGATGGTATGTCATCTTGTCCCACATCCTTACCTTACCATCCACAACTTGATGGTATGCCATCTTGTCCCCCATCCTTACCTTACCACCCACACCTGGATGGCTGACTTGTTACTCACAGCACCTTAAAGCCATTCCTTTCAAGCCCACAACTTTCTCTAGCTGATATTCACCGATGAATTCAATGTGGTATTAATCTTAGTGCACTGGCAGTTCCTTGCGTGCTCCTGAGACAGCCAAAATTCTGTTTATATAACATCTGTGCTGGTGAGCTGTAGTGTCTTATCTTTGACCATCAGATTTCCTAATGTATTATCTTTGACCATCAGATGTCCTAATGTATTATCTTTGACCATCAGATTTTAATGTATTATCTTTGATCATCAGATTTCCTAATGTATTATCTTTGACCATCAGATTTCCTAATGTATTATCTTTGATCATCAGATTTCCTAATGTATTATCTTTGACCATCAGATTTCCTAATGTATTATCTTTGACCATCAGATTTCCTAATTTATTATCTTTGACCATCAGATTTCCTAATGTATTACCTTTGACCATCAGATTTCCTAATGTATTATCTTTGACCATCAGATTTCCTAATGTATTATCTTTGACCATCAGATTTCCTAATGTATTATCTTTGATCATCAGATTTACTAATGTATTACCTTTGACCATCAGATTTCCTAATGTATTATCTTTGACCATCAGATTTCCTAATGTATTATCTTTGATCATCAGATTTCATAATGTATTATCTTTGACCATCAGATTTCTTAATGTATTACCTTTGATCATCAGATTTCCTAATGTATTATCTTTGACCATCATATTTCCTAATGTATTATCTTTGATCATCAGATTTCCTAATGTATTATCTTTGACCATCAGATTTCCTAATGTATTATCTTTAATCATCAGATTTCCTAATGTATAACCTTTGACCATCAGATTTCCTAATGTATTATCTTTGACCATCAGATTTCCTAATGTATTATCTTTGATCATCAGATTTCCTAATGTATTATCTTTGACCATCAGATTTCCTAATGTATTATCTTTAATCATCAGATTTCCTAATGTATAACCTTTGACCATCAGATTTCCTAATGTATTATCTTTGACCATCAGATTTCCTAATGTATTATCTTTGATCATCAGATTTCCTAATGTATTATCTTTGACCATCAGATTTCCTAATGTATTATCTTTGACCATCAGATTTCCTAATGTATTATCTTTGACCATCAGATTTCCTAATGTATTATCTTTGACCATAAGATTTCCTAATGTATTATCTTTGACCATCAGATTTCCTAATGTATTATCTTTGATCATCAGATTTCCTAATGTATTACCTTTGACCATCCGATTTCCTAATGTATTATCTTTGACCATCAGATTTCCTAATGTATTATCTTTGACCATCAGATTTCCTAATGTATTATCTTTGATCATCAGATTTCCTAATGTATTACCTTTGACCATCCGATTTCCTAATGTATTATCTTTGACCATCAGATTTCCTAATGTATTATCTTTGATCATCAGATTTCCTAATGTATTATCTTTGACCATCAGATTTCTTAATGTATTACCTTTGATCATCAGATTTCCTAATGTATTATCTTTGACCATCATATTTCCTAATGTATTATCTTTGACCATCAGATTTCCTAATGTATTATCTTTGATCATCAGATTTCTTAATGTATTACCTTTGACCATCCGATTTCCTAATGTATTATCTTTGACCATCAGATTTCCTAATGTATTATCTTTGACCATCAGATTTCCTAATGTATTATCTTTGACCATCAGATGTCCTAATGTATTATCTTTGACCATCAGATTTTAATGTATTATCTTTGATCATCAGATTTCCTAATGTATTATCTTTGACCATCAGATTTCCTAATGTATTATCTTTGACCATCAGATTTCCTAATGTATTATCTTTGACCATCAGATTTCCTAATGTATTATCTTTGACCATCAGATTTCCTAATGTATTATCTTTGACCATCAGATTTCCTAATGTATTATTTTTGACCATCAGATTTCCTAATGTATTATCTTTGACCATCAGATTTCCTAATGTATTATCTTTGACCACCAGATTTCCTAATATATTATCTTTGACCATCATATTTCCTAATGTATTATCTTTGACCATCAGATTTCCTAATGTATTATCTTTGACCATCAGATTTCCTAATGTATTATCTTTGACCATCAGATTTCCTAATGTATTATCTTTGATCATCAGATTTCCTAATGTATTATCTTTGACCATCAGATTTCCTAATGTATTATCTTTGACCATCAGATTTCCTAATGTATTATCTTTGACCATCAGATTTCCTAGTTACCAATGGAGGTTATTTTTTTAAGCACCTGAAAGTAATTTATGATTGCCTAGAAATTTCCTAGAGATTTCCTAATGACTGCCAAGATCTACTTTTTAATGATTGTTAGAGATTTTTAATGATTTCCTGGAGATATCTAATAATTGCCTAGAGATTTCTAATGATTGCCTAGATGTTTCCTAGTGATTTCCTAGAGATTTCTAATGATTGCTTAGACATTTACCAATGATTGCCTAGACATTTCATAATGATTGCCTAGACATTTACCAATTATTGCCTAGACATTTCATAATGATTGCCTAGACATTTCATAATGATTGCCTAGACATTTCATAATGATTGCCTAGGCACTTTCTAATGATTGCCTAGACATTTCATAATGATTGCCTAAAGATTTCTTGCGTGACTGAACAAATACATATCATTATATAACTTCATTCAATAAAACAAAATAAAAACTACTTTTAAAATGAACAGTCGTGTCCAAAAATGTACAAAAAGGCATCCAATAATTATACACAAAGGCATTCAATAAATGTACACAAAGGCATCCAATAAATGTACACAAAGGCATCCAATAAATGTACACAAAGGCATCCAATGAATGGCTCCCCTAACTTCAGCGTTGTTACAGTCAAGTGAGGCAAAAAACGTGTGGCATCCAAGAAATGCAATGACGTAATTTTAGGTTGCTCTGTCCGTTTGTTCTACTCCTTCTAGTCCAGAGTTGATAAGAAGATAATAATATTCCATTTTCTTACATTGCACTCGTTCATACTGTGCAGTCGCCGAGCTTATCGCTCTGTATGACTCTGACATTTAAACAAAGCTGCATGCCTCATCTGCTGGACACTGTCGTACCTCCGTGACCCGGCATCCCCCCCCCCCCACACTGGTCCTCGCAGCACAAGAACGAGGCACTCTGACACGAATAATGGCGGCAGGTTGGGTCCCGTTGTAGATTTTGTCTGTGACAGTAGCTATCAGTTGGACATTCCTTAGTCCTCATCTGTGTCGCCAAACTCTGCTGTTATACTTTTATGCTGTTGGCGACCAAGTTTTCACCAAATTTGATCGGTGGTTTGGCATTCTGATGAAAAGATTGTGTGTGTCCCAGTTATGTACCCATTCGCTGCTCTATTAACAGTGCACCCAATTAGCCATTGACAGGTCATAGGCAGGTCATTGCCAGGTCTGTCTGACGATGACTGGCTTGTTCGTTTCCAGCAAGGCATGCGTGACCACTTGAATGACCTGTCTCCATCCTTCCACTTGGTTGGTATAAATATCTTAAGGACCACAATAAACATCTTCAAGTCTAAAGAGTCCTGCCTTGGAGGCACAGGACCAAACTATGAATCAGTACAGACCAATGTGGCTGGGACTCGATTCTACAACCTGCGGCGCTTCTATTTCTGCTTCGAAGTTCGTGCCAGTGGCCTCGTTAGGCACTGAAATCTTCTCATGTTGTGGCCCCCATAGGCACTGAAATATTCTCAGTTTGTGGCTTGCCTGGCACTGAAATCTTTTCAGGTTGTGGCTTGCCTAGGCACTGAAATCTTTTCAGGTTGTGGCTTGCCTAGGCACTGAAATCTTTTCAGGTTGTGCCCACACTAGTCGCTGAAATCTGCTCTGGTTGTGGCCAATGCTCCATCCAAGGTTCGCTCGTTCGTGTGCAAAATCATACAGTTGTGCGCACATTTTTACAGCAATTTTTGTGTGTGTGCAAACACACACACACACACATACACACACGCGGAAATTACATAAATGAACTTGAGTGCAAAAACCTATATATAAATACGATTTAATCCTCATGAGCATGTCTAAATGTAACTTTTCCAACCTATTTCCAAATTTTATTTTATATAATTCATTCGGCTGAATCCACGTTTACAATTCGCGCTTGGTGCAAGAAATGTTGCCCAAATATCCATCAGAATGGCAATGTCAACGAATTGCTCTCATTCAGTACAAATCGAGCCATCTCTTCAAAAGTCTGCATCAACCCACATTTCAATCTTTCACCAAGCACAAACCTTAATTTACGATACTTATCCTCAACTTTCGGCAGAATGTCATCATAGTTTTCCAGGAATGCCGCATATCTAGAAAGCAGTGCTGCAAGTTCTTGACCAAAAGTAAAATCTAAAGTGTCCATTAACGCTGATATCTCAAAGAATTACCATTGCATCAACTCACTTTCAAGGAAACGAGAGTCCAGGTGCAAACGAATTCAACGAATTTTAGGATGAAACTCATGTTTATATCTCGTCATTTGCCAGCAATTCAGTAACCTCTTCGGACCAGTGCTCATTTTCACCAAGATACTGGGCACAGAGCTTAGCGATACTTGCTTTTACAAACTGGTATGCCTTGATGGTCGTAAGATTTTCTCTTTTTAACAGCTTGCATAATTTAGCAAGTTCACCAACAACTTCATCAAAGATAATCAGCGCAGTTCGAAACTGCGAATCCCTTAGTTTCTTCAAACAGTACCTATCAACTGGATCGTTATACAGACTCATCTGCTCCTCACAGTATTCAGTCAACCCTTTTATGTTTCTCAACAATAATCTTAAAGCAAAGTGCCGTGAAAGCCATTTGATTTCATTCAATGGTCTAAAGGCTACGGGATCACATTCCAACACTTTAGCTAGTTAGGTAAACTGAGCTTTCCGTACTGTCGATCTTCTGAACAATGTGTTCACTGTTCAAAGGAATATTTCAATGTCTGCCATTAAACTTATATGTTTGCAAGCATCATCGATGCCTAAATCTTCACGATAAGCAACGCGATGATATTCCAGTAGATGTGGAATACATCGGCGAAGAATTGCTGCAACTCAATTGTCCTTGCCTACAGAAGCGTAGCGAGGGGAGGGCAGGAGGGACAGATGTCCCTGGGCGCCAGTTAGTTAGAGCGCAAAAATGTGCTTTGATATTATTTTATTGATGAAAATAATGGGTTTGAGAGTTGAAAAAAAAAGAAAAAAGGGCGCTTTAAAATGGATCTTGTCCCCGGGCGCGAATCTTGTCCCCCGGGCGCCAAACACCCTCGCTATGCCTCTGCTTGCCTAGCATAACCGATACACCATCAAGGATAAACACTACCATTTTCTGAATGTGCAATGAATTCTCTTAATAAAACTCTGGTATTGCTGATTGCACGGAACTCCTGTCACATGCCCACAGAGACAAAATTCCAACAAATACTGTGTTGTAAACATTACCGGGATATGGCCGAAACTTTGCGCCTGAGATCAACATTTTTGTCAGTGACATATCAATGTTCTCATCTGCTGTTAATGTGTGGAACTTTGCATTGCGAAGTTCGCTAATTATAGCATCCTTCACTCTGCTGAGTCTAATGCTTTGGTCAGAACAAAGAGGTGATGAACAGGCCATCTCAGCTGAGTCTAATACTTTGGTCAGAACAAAGAGGTGATGAACAGGCCACCTCTGCTGAGTCTAATACTTTGGTCAGAACAAAGAGGTGATGAACAGGCCATCTCAGCTGAGTCTAATACTTTGGTCAGAACAAAGAGGTGATGAACAGGCCATCTCTGCTGAGTCTAATGCTTTGGTCAGAACAAAGAGGTGATGAACAGGCCATCTCTGCTGAGTCTAAGGCTTTGGTCAGAACAAAGAGGTGATGAACAGGCCATCTCTGCTGAGTCTAATGCTTTGGTCAGAACAAAGAGGTGATGAACAGGCCACCTCTGCTGAGTCTAATACTTTGGTCAGATCAAAGAGGTGATGAACAGGCCATCTCTGCTGAGTCTAATGCTTTGGTCAAAGAGTTGATGAACAGGCCATCTCTGCTGAGTCTAATGCTTTGGTCAAAGAGTTGATGAACAGACAATCTCTGCTGAGTCTAATGCTGTGGTCAAAGAGTTGATGAACATGCTGCTGTGGAGTTCTTAGCATTTTTACTGGAGCAGACGTGCAGCAAATAACATGTAAGCTCTGTCCCGTTCTGAACGGAATCCAAATTGGATTTCAGATATGTGTCGCAGCATATGTTGAGGTAGAACTATTGACAAATACACTGGGTTTAATAAACATCTTATTACATTGGGACAAACCCTTGGCACAGAGAACATAACTGGAGATATTATCGTTGATGTGGCCAACTGATCTAAAGATCATTATATGAAATGTTTAGCAAATATTGACTATTGACTTATTAGGAATTTCCTCAAAGTATTTTGTAGTCATTGCGACATTCAAAATTAGATTGCATTTTTGTGTTGCCTTTGCTACCTCTTATTTCATTTGGACATAGATCCAGCTGTGTCATTAGTATCAGGTGTGTCATGATGGGTGTGTCATTTGTGACGGGTGTGTCATTGGTGCTGTGTGTGTCTTTAGATGATAAAAATATTTGAATTATTTTCTCTACTTCAAAACATAAATGAGATCCAGATTTTAAATATTGAAATCTTCCTTTTTGGAGAAACTAATTTTTATCGTATATTCTTCTTCTCCCCGCCAGGTATCTTACAGTAAACATCAAGGAATATCCTAGAAGTCCAGGTAAACTGACGAGTTCTCCTATTTTGACTTTTCCCACCTCCCCCTCCCCTTCCACATCTTCTTTTGGTTACTGTGCTGGTCTAGAGGGGGTGGGTGGGATGGGGGCTATGTGGGGAGGTGGTGGGGTAGAGCCATTCCTCGCTCTCCAGGTAAACAGAAAAATGAGCCAACACCGGCACCACTCACCCCTTCTAGCATGTTGTGTGTGTGTGTGTCTGTGGATGTGTGGGTGTGTGAGGAATCTGCTGTGTGTTCCCGACTCTAGTCTATGCCATCCACTCTGTGCTAGTTTTTCGTAGGTGCCTGAAGAAGACCGGAGGTTAGAAATCCTCCATTGAAAAACTCAAAACCCAAGCAGCGCAGTCAGTGATTAGTTTTTTCTTTGAACCAAAGTAGACAACCATCAAACTTAGGAAAATGGCCAACAGGGAAAAGCCAATGGGAATGGACAGAGCCCATCATTCCAAGGTAAGTACAAGTTAGTGATGACAATGAACATATAGACTTAGTCGAATGCTCGTCCAATCAAACCTTATTTGTATGTCCAGAACTAGAAAACGTGGGGCGGGGGGGGAGGGGGTGGTGGTGGTACGGGGACCTTTACTATAGGCGTCTCGATACTTACAAAGCCTATTTATTAATATTGTATCTTTGTTTCGTTCTTTTTAGAATTAAAAAAAGAGTTCACATATTTAAAATGGTATTAGTTTATCCAGTACTACAAAGCACATAAGTTGTTTATGTGGGTCCCCCAAATGACACCTATATGTTATTGCTATGTGGGTACCCCAAATGACACCTATATGTTATTTAGCGAGAACTTAGTTTTTATACCGGGCTTAAGGGGTTGTATTGTTGGTCCTCCAATGTCCACATTTTGGACTTTCAGCCGTCTAGTGCCTCTAGTGCTTCTACCACGGACAGAACTAGAGATTGAGACAAATCAATCGAGCTTAAAATGACTTGGCCTCAAATAGTAAGATAACCGGAAAACCAACTCTTGGCTGTTTGGCCCTGGCTCCATCACAGAGCCTTAGTTTACATGTTCGGTGCTCCATTTTAGAGCCATGGTTGTTAAACATGTGCTCCAACCTAGAGTCATAGGTTGTGTAGCAAGTGCTCCATCTTAGAGCCATAGGTTGTTTAGGCAGTGCTCCATCCTAGAGCCATAGGTTGTGTAGCCAGTGCTCCATCCTAGAGCCATAGGTTGTTTAGGCAGTGCTCCATCCTAGTGCCATAGGTTGTGTAGCCCGTGCTTTATCCAATTGGTTCGACACCTGGTGTGTCCGTTTTGTACGATTGCGAATTTTATCCAAGCTCAGTGGAGTTTTCTGTGTATATTCATACCTGTCTATTCACACCTGTCTATTCACACCTGTCTATTCATACCTGTCTATTCATACCTGTCTATTCATACCTGTCTATTCACACCTGTCTATTCATACCTGTCTATTCATACCTGTCTATTCACACCTGTCTATTCACACCTGTCTATTCATACCTGTCTATTCATACCTGTCTATTCACACCTGTCTATTCACACCTGTCTATTCATACCTGTCTATTCATACCTGTCTATTCATAGATGTTTCGTTTCGAATGTGTGTAGAAAGATTCTCCATGAAATTATTTTTCAGACGTACAATACATTGTAATTTTTTAAGTTAGTTTGCCTATGAAATGATAGTCCGAAAACGTTGCCTATGAATTGATAGTCTGAAAATTTTGCCTATGATATGATAGTCCGAAACTTTGCGTATGAAATGATAGCCCAAAAATTTTGCCTATGAAATAATAGTCCAAAAATGAAAAGCTTACGGGCCAGGAAGCTGAACTTTGGTAGTCAATCAGTTTTGACCCCATAAAGATGAGCCTAAATGAGTGCATTGCCAAATGGAATTTTCCCCAACTAAGCGGTGACTCGCGACCCCCTTCCCAGGGTTTCTGAGGTACCCGGTCGGTAGGAATGTTAGCGACCCCCTTCCCAGGGTTTCTGAGGTACCCGGTCGGTAGCAATGTTAGCGACCCCCTTCCCAGGGTTTCTGAGGTACCCGGTCGGTAGCAATGTTAGCGACCCCCTTCCCAGGGTTTCTGAGGTACCCGGTCGGTAGGAATGTTTCACACAGACAGATATTAAGCTTTTTTGTAGGTCAATTAAAATCAATACTTGCATTTTATATTGTAGAGATGATTTTTTTACAACATATTTTCATCAGGCCTCTGAGAATACCCAGTGGCATAAAACGGGGGTGTGGAGGGGACAATTCACCCTGGGCGGCACTTTTTTCCTTATACGGAGGTATGGGCACCCGCAGGGGAGGGGGGAAGGGGGGCACTTGCCCCCCCCCCCCGGATTGATTGGATATAAAAATTTTAGACAAAAATAGACAAAAAATGTATTAGAGTAAAGAGAAAATATAGAGAAAGTAACTAAGCTCATGTCCTGTCCGTTCGTTCACCATACAAATACGCTACAGTAAATTAAAACTACATTAAAACATTAGATTGAATGTATGAATAGCTTGAATGTATGAATAGCTTGAATATATGAATAGATTGAATGTATGAATAGCTTGAATGTATGAATAGATTGAATGTATGAATAGCTTGAATGTATGAATAGATTGAATGTATGAATAGATTGAATGTATGAATAGCTTGAATGTATGAATAGATTGAATGTATGAATAGCTTGAATGTATGAATAGATTAAATGTATGAATAGCTTGAATGTATCCATATATCAACTCTTTATGGTAACCCGCCCAGGTTTATCAATTGTTCATTTAGGGTGTAGGAATGGCATCATTGAAACAAATATTTAAGTTGGCTTGTGAACTACTTGTGTGCAATTTACTGTCATTGTCGTTAGTATTAGCTTAACAGTCGGACGATGCTAGAGGTTGACACGGACGATGCTAGAGGTTGACACGGACGATGCAAGAGGTTGACACGGACGATGCTAGAGGTTGACACGGACGATGCTAGAGGTTGACACGGACGATGCTAGAGATTGACACGGACGATCCTAGAGGTTGAAACGGACGATGCTAGAGGTTGACTCTGGCGATGCTAGATTGAGAAAAAAGTGCATAGTGAGAAGAGCACACGTGCCTTGCTTGGCTCAGCGAGTGCTAAAAATAGCCGTCTGTATACCAAGGTAGACATCGCCACCCGAGCAAGGCCCACACTTGTGCATACCTCAAGTCTTGTTTGTACGTTCTCCCCCTGGTGTATGCTGGGATAGATAACAAAAAGGTTACTCACAGCTTAGCTGCGCGGGGCTGATTTACACTTGGCATATTTATAGATTAGCATTTAACTTGTTCGGGGACTAATATATTATGTGATAAACAGAATATGGAATAAATCACGTCACAGCGTCCAAGTTGATTTGTCTGGTGATTATATTTCCAATGTACAACTGCAACGACATGAATTATATTAGTCGAAGTGTAAGCTCAGATGGGATGGGGAAGAGATGGTTCATAAAAATAACTGAATCGGTCGTAGTCGAAGTGTAAGCTCAGATGAGATGGGGAAGAGATCGTTCATAAAAATAACTGAATCGGTCGTAGTCGAAGTGTAAGCTCAGATGAGATGAGGAAGAGATCGTTCATAAAAATAACTGAATCGGTCGTAGTCGAAGTGTAAGCTCAGATGAGATGGGGAAGAGATGGTTCATAAAAATAACTGAATCGGTCGTAGTCGAAGTATAAGCTCAGATGTAATGGGGAAGAGATGGTTCATAAAAATAACTGAATCGGTCGTAGTGGAAGTGTAAGCTCAGATGAGATGGGGAAGAGATCGTTCATAAAAATAACTGAATCGGTCGTAGTCGAAGTGTAAGCTGAGATTAGATGGGGACGAGATAGTTCATCCAAATAACTGAATTGGTTGGATCAATGGAGGACGACCCTTAAGAATCCAGTGGTTCTCAAACTTTTTTTTTCGGCCACCGGCCCTTTGGGCTAACGCAAATATTTTAATCACACCATTTCTACCCAGTTTTTGAAGATATTATTGTGTGCACTGCTCTCCAAAAGATGGGGTGGGGGGGACACAATACAATGTATAAAAAAACAACAAATCAGCAACATTTCAATGTATAGAAAAACACAATACAATGTATAAAAAACAACACAATACAATGTATGAGATAAAACACTTATAAGAAAAACACATTACTCTATAGGAAAAACTATTAACAATGTTTTGAAAAACACACCAAAAAATTATAGGGAAAAACACAACAGTGTATAAGAAAAAGCACATTAAAATGTATAAGAAAAACACAATACAATGCATAAGAAAAATACATAACAATGTATAAGAAAAACAAAATACAATGTATAGGGAAAAACACAATAAAATGTAAAGAAAAAGCACATAACAATGTATAAGAAAAAACACAAAACAATGTATAAGAAAAAACACATTACAATGTATAGGAAAAACACATTACAATGTATAGGAAAAACTCATTACAGTGTATAGGAAAAACACATTACAATGTATAATAAAAACACATTACAATGTATAGGAAAAACACATTACAATGTATAGGAAAAACACAAAACAATGTATAGGAAAAACACATTACAATGTATAGGAAAAACACATTACAATGTATAGGAAAAACACATTACATTGTATAGGAAAAACACATTATAATGTATAGGAAAACACATTACAATGTATAGGAAAAACACATTACAATGTATAGGAAAAACACATTATAATGTATAGGAAAACACATTACAATGTATAGGAAAAACACATTACAATGTATAGGAAAAACACATTACAATGTATAGGAAAAACACATTATAATGTATAGGAAAACACATTACAATGTATAGGAAAAACACATTACAATGTATAATAAAAACACATTACAATGTATAGGAAAAACACATTACAATGTATAGATAGAACACATTACAATGTATAGAAAAAACACATTACAATGTATAGGAAAAACACATTACAATGTATAGGAAAAACTCATTACAATGTATATGAAAAACACATTACAATGTATAATAAAAACACATTACAATGTATAGGAAAAACACATTACACCATTACAATGTATAGGAAAAACACATTAAAATGTATAGGAAAAACACATTACAATGTATAGGAAAAACACATTACAATGTATAGGAAAAACACATTACAATGTATAGGAAAAACACATTAAAATGTATAGGAAAAACACATTACAATGTATAGGAAAAACACATTACAATGCATAATAAAAACACATTACAATGTATAGGAAAAACACATTACAATGTATAGGAAAAACACATTACAATGTATAAGAAAAAACACAAAACAATGTATAAGAAAAAACACATAACAATGTATAATAAAAACACATTACAATGTATAGGAAGAACACATTACAATGTATAGGAAAAAAACATTACAATGTATAGGAAAAACACATTACAATGTATAGGAAAAACACATTATAATGTATAGGAAAACACATTACAATGTATAGGAAAAACACATTACAATGTACAATAAAAACACATTACAATGTATAGGAAAAACACATTACAATGTATAATAAAAACACATTACAATGCATAGGAAAAAAACATTACAATGTATAGGAAAAACACATTACAATGTATAGGAAAAACACATTACAATGTATAGGAAAACACATTACAATGTATAGGAAAAACACATTACAATGTATAATAAAAACACATTACACCATTACAATGTATAGGAAAAACACAAAACAATGTATAGGAAAAACACATTACAATGTATAGGAAAAACTCATTACAATGTATAGGAAAAACACATTACAATGTATAGGAAAAACACATTACAATGTATAGGAAAAACACATTAAAATGTATAGGAAAAACACATTACAATGTATAGGAAAAACACATTACAATGTATAGGAAAAACACATTACAATGTATAGGAAAAACACATTACAATGCATAATAAAAACACATTACAATCTATAGGAAAAACACATTACAATGTATAGGAAAAACACATTACAATGTATAATAAAAACACATTACAATGTATAGGTAAAACACATTACAATGTACAATACAAACACATTACAAGGTATAGGAAAAACACATTACAATGTATAATAAAAACACATTACAATGTATAGGAAAAACACATTACAATGTATAGGAAGAACACATTACAATGTATAGAAAAAACACATTACAATGTATAGGAAAAACACATTACAATGTATAGGAAAAACTCATTACAATGTATAGGAAAAACACATTACAATGTATAATAAAAACACATTACAATGTATAGGAAAAACACATTACAATGTATAATAAAAACACATTACGATGTATAGGAAAAACACATTACAATGTATAGAAAAAACACATTACAATGTATAATAAAAACACATTACAATGTATAGGGAAAACACATTACAATGTACAATAAAAACACATTACAATGTATAGGAAAAGCACATTACAATGTATAATAAAAACACATTACAATGTATAGGAAAAACACATTACAATGTATAATAAAAAACACATTACAATGTATAGGAAAAACACATTACAATGTACAATAAAAACACATTACAATGTATAGGAAAAACACATTATAATGTATAGGAAAACACATTACAATGTATAGGAAAAACACATTACAATGTATAGAAAAAACACATTACAATGTATAATAAAAACACATTACAATGTATAGGGAAAACACATTACAATGTACAATAAAAACACATTACAATGTATAGGAAAAACACATTACAATGTATAATAAAAACACATTACAATGTATAGGAAAAACACATTACAATGTACAATAAAAACACATTACAATGTATAGGAAAAACACATTACAATGTATAGGAAAAACACATTACAATGTATAGGAAAAACACATTACAATGTATAGGAAAAACACATTACAATGTATAGGAAAAACACATTACAATGTATAGGAAAAACACATTACAATGTATAGGAAAAACACATTACAATGTATAGGAAAAACACATTACAATGTATAGGAAAAACACATTACAATGTATAGGAAAAACACATTACAATGTATAGGAAAAACACATTACAATGTATAGGAAAAACACATTACAATGTATAGGAAAAACACATTACAATGTATAGGAAAAACACATTACAATGTATAGGAAAAACACATTACAATGTATAGGAAAAACACATTACAATGTATAGGAAAAACACATTACAATGTATAGGAAAAACACATTACAATGTATAGGAAAAACACATTACAATGTATAGGAAAAACACATTACAATGTATAGGAAAAACACATTACAATGTATAGGAAAAACACATTACAATGTATAGGAAAAACACATTACAATGTATAGGAAAAACACATTACAATGTATAGGAAAAACACATTACAATGTATAGGAAAAACACATTACAATGTATAGGAAAAACACATTACAATGTATAGGAAAAACACATTACAATGTATAGGAAAAACACATTACAATGTATAGGAAAAACACATTACAATGTATAGGAAAAACACATTACAATGTATAGGAAAAACACATTACAATGTATAGGAAAAACACATTACAATGTATAGGAAAAACACATTACAATGTATAGGAAAAACACATTACAATGTATAGGAAAAACACATTACAATGTATAGGAAAAACACATTACAATGTATAGGAAAAACACATTACAATGTATAGGAAAAACACATTACAATGTATAGGAAAAACACATTACAATGTATAGGAAAAACACATTACAATGTATAGGAAAAACACATTATAATGTATAGGAAAACACATTACAATGTATAGGAAAAACACATTACAATGTATAATAAAAACACATTACAATGTATAGGAAAAACACATTACAATGTATAGGAAGAACACATTACAATGTATAGAAAAAACACATTACAATGTATAGGAAAAACACATTACAATGTATAGGAAGAACACATTACAAGGTATAGAAAAAACACATTACAATGTATAGGAAAAACACATTACAATGTATAGGAAAAACTCATTACAATGTATATGAAAAACACATTACAATGTATAATAAAAACACATTACAATGTATAGGAAAAACACATTACAATGTATAATAAAAACACATTACGATGTATAGGAAAAACACATTACAATGTATAGAAAAAACACATTACAATGTATAATAAAAACACATTACAATGTATAGGGAAAACACATTACAATGTACAATAAAAACACATTACAATGTATAGGAAAAGCACATTACAATGTATAATAAAAACACATTACAATGTATAGGAAAAACACATTACAATGTATAATAAAAAACACATTACAATGTATAGGAAAAACACATTACAATGTACAATAAAAACACATTACAATGTATAGGAAAAACACATTATAATGTATAGGAAAACACATTACAATGTATAGGAAAAACACATTACAATGTATAGAAAAAACACATTACAATGTATAATAAAAACACATTACAATGTATAGGGAAAACACATTACAATGTACAATAAAAACACATTACAATGTATAGGAAAAACACATTACAATGTATAATAAAAACACATTACAATGTATAGGAAAAACACATTACAATGTACAATAAAAACACATTACAATGTATAGGAAAAACACATTATAATGTATAGGAAAACATATTACAATTTATAGGAAAAACACATTACAATGTATAGAAAAAACACATTACAATGTATAATAAAAACACATTACAATGTATAGGGAAAACACATTACAATGTACAATAAAAACACATTACAATGTATAGGAAAAACACATTACAATGTATAATAAAAACACATTACAATGTATAGGAAAAACACATTATAATGTATAGGAAGAACACATTACAATGTATATGAAAAACACATTACAATGTATAGGAAAAACACATTACAATGTATAATAAAAACACATTACAATGTATAGGAAAAACACATTACAATGTACAATAAAAACACATTACAATGTATAGGAAAAACACATTACAATGTATAATAAAAACACATTACAATGTATAGGAAAAACACATTATAATGTATAGGAAGAACACATTACAATGTATATGAAAAACACATTACAATGTATAGGAAAAACACATTACAATGTATAGGAAAAACACATTACAATGTAAAATAAAAACACATTACAATGTATAGGAAAAACACATTACAATGTATAATAAAAAACACATTACAATGTATAGGAAAAACACATCAGTGGCGTAGCTAGGGGGCTGCCGGTGGTGCGGACCGCACCGGGTGACACCATCTCAAGGGGTGACACCAAATTGAAAGATTTCATATTTACAGAGAATACACTGCTCGATCTAACCGGATTTTCGTAAAAGGATAACAGATCACACGTACGTTTTCCACACATAACCAATCCAAATGCCTGGTTTATTAAACGTTCAAGGTCAGAAGTGAGGTAACCCAATAATTAGGGCGTTAGTGAAAGGAAGCTTTATTTATTATAACTGTGGTCGGACGATTCTAAGTACCGGTACAGGAATCGAATCAGTAAAAATTAAAAAGATAAAAAATAACTTTTTACCCATTTATAGGGTTAACAAAATAATATCTTACACCATTTTCTAATATCTTTTAATCATTAATTTAAATTTATTTTTATTTTTTTATATTTTTTTTTGAAACCAAATATATCGAAACCAATGTTGCCTTAAGGATAATTGAATGGACTATATGTTTGTAAATTGAATTCTTCAGTATATATAAAATAAACTACCACAAATGACACTGAGTCAAAATGGACCAGAACACGCAGCGCCACCATTCGCACCCGGGTACCATTAGACTCTAGCTATTCGGATGTCATTTGAAGGTAGTTTATTTTAGTTAAACTGAAGAAGTCAGTTTACAAACATTTAGTCCATTCAATTATCTTTCATATGATCCCTCATTTTGTCTTAGAAACCCAACAATAATATTTTAAATAGTTTTTTAATCCCAATCTCTCACTTCTGGTACCCGGGTACGAATAGTCTAATGGGACCCGCGTGCGAATGACGGCGCTGCGTGTCCGTAGCCATTTTGACTAAATGCTATTCGGATGTCATTTGTGGTAGTTTGTTTTAGTTGAAATGAAGAAGTCAGTTTACAAACAAATAGTCCATTCAGTTATCTTTCAGTTGATCCCTCATTTTGTCTTACAGACCCAACAATAATATTTTTAATGGTTTTTTAATCACAACCTCTCGCTTCTGGTACCCGGGTACGAATAGCCACTTCGATAAATGAAATGTAAAAAAATAAGAACAACTTAACCTTGTTAAACAACTTAACCTTGTTAAACAACTTAACCTTGTTAAACAACTTAACCTTGTTAAACAACTTAACCTTGTTAAACAACTTAACCTTGTTAAACAACTTAACCTTGTTAAACAACTTAACCTTGTTACAGTTATTTCAAAAACCTTTACGCCCTGACATTTGATTCATGACATGGAGTAAATGCGAAAACCTTTGATGAAGGTTTGCCTCGAAAGGGTACATCACTGAGAATCATTTTTTATGTTAACTGGTATTAATATTTGCTTCCAACCTTTCATTATAATAAAATATTATTATTAAACATTAAATACAGAAAAGAAAATAAGTCATTTGCTTGCTTTTATAATTTCTATATGCATTGTGCTGTCTTACACCTTAAAAGGGCAAAGTCACCCCATTTTTCCTTAGGTTGAAAAATCTCAAAAAACCTTAATTATCAACTTAACCTGATCAAACTATGAATTAATTCAGCTATAACAACAAAGTGCAGGTACCCACTTTGTACATTAGCCCCTTTGTGTTAGTTTTTAGATCAGTTAACATGTTGAAACTTATGCTTAAAGGCCAAAAGTAGGCAAAGTCACCCCGTTTCACGGTACATAAAATTTTTATCAAAAGAGACATGATCATGACATTAAAATAAAATACATTTATGAAATAAAGTTCAACAATGTATATTCACCCACCCCACCACATAACTTTTACAAGGCAAACCATGGACGGCAGCCAGCAAGATCATTTATCGGTCAGAGGAGGGGAATCAGTCAGGGTAGTATAATTTTAAAATATATGTTTTTAGTGCAGTTTTGAAGGCCTGGGTGGTTGGTATATTGCGTATGTGTAGTGGCAAAGAATTCCATTGTTTGTGGGCGCAGAAAGAGAAAGATCGTTCACCATATGTTTTAGTGTGTGTCTTGGGAACGGACAGAATACGCGTGTCTGCAGAGGATCGAAGCTGTCGAAGGGGTGAATAGATAGAAAGAAGTTTGGTTAGATATGAAGGGTAGGAATCCAAGAAAAAGTTGTGACAGAGAACAGACAACTTGTAGTCGATGTGTGCCTGTATAGGGAGCCAATGAAGGGAATGGAGTAGTGGAGTGACGAGATCACGTTTTTTTTTTTTGCCTTTAAAACTAGCCTAGCAGCTGAGTTTTGAACTTTCTGCAGTTTTTCTATGCAGTGTTTTAGTGAACCTGACAGAAGAGAGTTGCAATAGTCAAGACGAGAGAGAACAAGAGCACAGACTAGAGCTTTTGTAGCGCTAACTGTGAAGTAGTGGCGTATGGAGCTGATCTGACGGATAGTGGTGTATGCTGAACGACAAATATGAGATATGTGTTTATCGAGAGACATGTTGTTAGAAAGAATATAACCAAGAATCCTAGCAGAGGGTGTAAACCGTACGTCAGAGTTACCTACTTGAAATGAGGTAGGAAGAGTTGAGGTAGAGGGTGATGTGTGATTGTGGATGAGGAGTGCTTCCGTTTTGTCATCATTAAGCTTCAAATTGATGAGTGTCATACATGACTTGACATCATCAATGCACCCCCGCAGAGTCTGGACAGCGGATTCAACAAGAGAAGGATGGGTATGCTTGTATAGCTGCGTATCACCTGCAAATGACTGGCTCTCAACAGCATGCCTCCCAAGCAAGAGGAGCAGTGGTCTGGTATATAATGTGAATAGAATCGGGCCTAAAACGGACCCCTGTGGTACTCCATACACCAAATCAGCACTGCCTGAGAGACAGCCATCGACAGAGACCGACTGCGTTCTATCAGAGAGGTAGGATCTAAACCAAGCCAAAACTGAACCAGAAATTCCAAAGTAATTTTCAAGGGTTTTCAAAAGGATTACATGGTCAACAGTGTCAAAGGCCGCACTGAGGTCTAAGAGAATCAGGATGGAGATATCACCAAAGTCCAATGCGAGCAAGAGGTCATTGTTATACTTCTACACTGTAACTAAGTCTTATGTAGCCTAATTCATTCAGTTATACTTCTACACTGTAACTAAGTCTAATGTAGCCTAATTCATTCAGTTATACTTCTACACTGTAACTAAGTCTAATGTAGCCTAATTCATTCAGTTATACTTCTACACTGTAACTAGGTCTAATGTAGCCTAATTCATTCAGTTATACTTCTACACTGTAACTAGGTCTAATGTAGCCTAATTCATTCAGTTATACTTCTACACTGTAACTAGTCCTAATGTAGCCTAATTCATTCAGTTATACTTCTACACTGTAACTAGGTCTAATTTAATCAACATATTCGGCTCTTTGTATTCTAATGTATAAGCCCTGTGGCTCCCAACAGATATTTTTAGCATCATTAATTTATGAAACTATGGCTCCTCACTCAAAACATGTCGCCAACCACTGTCAAAATAGCTTATCTATAAAGTAGAAGGCTTAACCTGCACTTAGTCAATGTAACTAACTTCTTCACTATTGACATGCTTTTAATACTTTGAGTGAGCCTGGCAAAGACACATTCATTTTAAAATGTCTGGTTTTAGAGATCCCACTCAAGTCACAAGGCACCAAATACGATTTTGAATGGGCAACAATGAGCTGTTTAATTCAGTCTCCGACTCTCCGCAGAGAGGGATACTGACATGATCTTTTCTTTTGTAACATGGTTTTTGATGCTTTGGCTTTATTTTAAAGTTGAAATAACTTTTACCCCCACTTACGCAATAGTAGAAAATCTGCAATTTATATAAAAAGAAAATCATAAAATTGCTCAGACATTCAATTTTGTACCATAATCAGTGGTCGCAAAATATTTGATTTCTTATGCTCAGTTCACACGATCAAATTTTCGTCACATTTCGTTTTGAACGTTCTATATTGTGTGTAAAAATTGTAACGCGAAATAGTGCGTTAAAAAAAATCAATGTTCTGTTTCTGGAAGTGTTCGTTGCTGCATTCCAATACTGGCATCTGTGCAACGGTTGGGGAAGCGATGTTGCTATTCTAACAGCTCCTAGTAGATGTCAGGGCAGCATTAAAGCTTTCGACCGATGTCGAGTCCACAGCGGCATCGTCCAGGTGGTTCCAAGCGATCATTGTAACGAAAATGTGAATCAAATTTGATCATGTGAACTGAGCATTTCAGTTTCAGAGAAACGAGATACAAATATGGAGATTGTTGATTTGATTTTAATAAAATTGACCTCATTGCAAACGTAATTTCATAGAACTGAATTAATTAGGGTTATACATCTTGAAATTAATCGACGTCTTGTGTCGCGCCACGGTGATGACTAATATGAAAAGCTTTACACTTCAAAAACATTGTCATATCAAAGCAAATCAACCGATCGGATTTGACAATATGCTGCCCACTTTGAGAATCACTTCTTTAGAACAATAGGCTACTTACTGGTGACAAACATTTCAAGCTGCTTATACTGTTTATATATATATATATTATATATATATATAAATTATATAAACAACTATTTAAGCCGGAATAACAGAATAACATATTTGCAATTAATAAATTATTATAAATAGGTTATGGCCAATGTTCCCTCTAAGGTTTGTTGGTTCGTGTGCAAAATTATACAATTGTGTGCAAAGTTTTACAGCATCAATTTTTTTGTGTGCAAAATTCTACAGCCCACAAACACATACATACACTTACATGGAAATGTGCTGCGCGGTACTCGAAACTGCTGCGCGGCGTCTGTGCGATAGCTGCGCGCCCGCGCAGCTTAAAGGGAACATTGGTTTTGGCCCAATTGAAATGACATATAAAAGACAATTGCTTTTTTCTGAAAGTGTGTAGAGTTTTTTTAACTTGAATCAACTTAAAAAAAAATTAAGTAATTAGCTCATAATACTATTAAAATTAAGCCTGCTAATATCCATAGTTTTTTAAGATACAAAAGTGAAAGTATGTCACTTTCATAGGGGTGGGAGGATTCAGAAATTGAATGCACCCTTCTCCATACATTAAAAAAAAAGATTCAAATGACAGGGATGCATTTTAGCGAATACTTGAATTTATGTTTGTATTATTCTAAATTTATTTGGAGAGGAACGGTGGAGATTTAGGTGACCCATGACCTGGCTGTGTTTATAGAAATCTGTTACTTTGAGCTGTTTCTAAATTGTCCAATGGAAATAAAATCATGTTTAATTTGTGCCATTTCTTTGTCTACTGAATGAATGAAGTCATCGAAAGAATATATCAAACATTCCAACCAAAAACTTACCCGTCACAAAAATGCACCGCTACCATCATAATATGGGGCATATGCCCTACATGTAAGCCACCATCATGGTATGGGGTATATGCCCTACATGTAAGCTAACATCATTATATTGGGTATAAGCCCTACATGTAAGCTACCATCATGATATGGGGTATACGCCCTACATGTAAGCTACCATCATGATATGGGGTATATGCCCTACATGTAAGCTACCATCATGATATGGGGTATATGCCCTACATGTAAGCTACCATCATGATATGGGGTATATGCCATACATGTAAGCTACCATCATGGTATGGGGTATATGCCCTACATGTAAGCTACCATCATGGTATGGGGTATATGCCCTACATGTAAGCTACCATCATGATATGGGGTATATGCCCTACATGTAAGCTACCATCATGATATGGGGTATATGCCCTACATGTAAGCTACCATCATGGTATGGGGTATATGCCCTACATGGAAGCTAACATCATGATATGGGGTATATGCCCTACATGTAAGCTAACATCATTATAGTTTGCATGTGCTCTAAATGTTAGCTAACATCATTATATGGGGCATATGCCCTATATGTTGAACGAAAGTGAAAAAAAACGGCTAAAATAACTTTTTGCTTTTATTTAAATTGTAAATGTTCTCCAATTTTACCTAAAAATGGAAGAAAAAAATAACTAAGGAAAAGGTCTAGAGATGTTTAGGCCTCTTTAAAAATGATCAAATTAAAAGAAACATTTATAATGAAAGGAACAAATGAGCACCCATTTCCAGTGCTAGAGCACCAATGTCCAGTAAAATACCACCCATTTCCAGAGATAGAGCACCGATGTCCAGTAAAATAGCACCCATTTCCAGTGCTAGAGCACCGATGTCCAGTAAAATAGCACCCATTTCCAGAGATAGAGCACCGATGTCCAGTAAAATAGCACCCATATCCAATGATAGAGCTCCTCTGTCCAAAAATAGAGCACCCATGTCCAATGATAGTGCACCAACGTCCAAAAATGAATAGGGGAGTAAACAAGACGAATGCTTTGGGGTTGGGAGGGGGTTGGGTCCTAAAATTTGACTTTTTTTACGTACTTAATTATTATAGATGGCACTTATATAAAAATTATTCAATTAAAGTCAACCAATTAATAGTAACCAAATATATAGAGTGATCTACTATTTGAAGCTTTTACTAATTATAACTTGCGAAATTTCACCAATCGCCAAAGGGGAATATACGTAGTGGGCCTAAAGCAGCATCTTTATAAAAAAAATAAATTACGAAAATAAAAAATAAAAAAAACATCCACAAGATCCTTTACACCCCACGTCCTCCCTGTCAGCATTTGACCCCCCCCCCCAACCCCCCCCCGCCCCCCGTTTTTTTTTTAGTCGCGCAAAGTAGGGGACATTGTTTGCAGTTTTATAATATAAGTGACCAAAACACTTAAACTACAATTAATAGGCCTACATGAAGCTTTTTTCAGTTAGTTAGGACTCATGACATAAAAATTTAATAGGATCTATTTCTTGTGTGTTCCAACTGTCAAATCAAAATATAATCAACAATAAAAACTCCTGTCTCGGTCAAATCGACACGGCGGTCGCTTGAACTTGAGTCGTTAACAAGCCAGCACCAGTTTTCTACGAATTTGCAGACATGAACAATTGGCCACTTAACTAAAAAGCAGAAGAAATGAAATTAATAACCTCGATTTTAAAGATATATGATTTCGTCTAACATTCATTGACTCAGTTCCTTTTTTCTTAAATGTCCAGGTTGCAGCGAAATATGACAGCGGCAGCGAATTGGAAGTCAGACAATGGATTCAGAAACTTACAGGACAAGATATCGGAAGCGGAGCTATGGAAGTGGAGAAGAGACTCAGAAATGGCCAGATTCTCGTTCAGTGAGTGAACTAAATGTAGAAACCTCAAAGTCTAAGTAAAGTAAAAGTCAGTGGTAAGATTTTAATAGGTCAGATATAATGGACTTAAACATATAATGGACTCAAAGATATAAAGGCGACTTAACTTGATGCTTAAACTTAAACATGGGATTGGGTAAGTTTTTTTTAGCCTCGGAGTTGGGGGTGGAGGGGGATATTTTATTCATTTTAAAATGGAATAGTAGGCCTAATAGTATATATTATAGTAGCAGTTACTAGCAGTAGGTCTAATATAGTCTTATTCTAACTACTAACAGAGCAGTTGGTTATTTATTGTAATTGAAATTGATTCAATGAATCAAATAATAATTATGAAAAATAACCTTACATACAATTAACTCTACTACTACTAACATTAACATTGTTAATTTTTTAGTAACATCCTACTCTACCAAACAACAGTTTTAAACAGTTAATTTAAAAAACATAAATGTTAATATTAATAAATAGTTGACTTAGTAGGTAGGCCTCACTACTAGATCCCTGTCCATGTTGAAATGAATGAAACAAGAAAATTGAAATAGAGTAGGCAGGGCGTTGGAAGAGCTCTTGCTGAAAGTTTACTAGATTTATTTGTATTTTTCATTCAGTGAAAAAATCATTATGGAAATATGAAATATCACAGTTAATTTGTTGTTTTCAATTACAACTACAAGCAAGCCAAATATTTTAAAACTTCACCCATTTTTAACACATTTTACTGTCTCTCCCCCCCCCCCCAACTTAGTAGGCCTATATTAAATAAATGTAGCCTTTTCCTTTGCCCTAGCTAATTTTCAACAATTCCTTATAATTTCCAAACATGTGATTTGCAGGGAAACATGCATGCAATAACAGAATACACAAAAATATTCATATTGATTCATATTTAATAATATTTTCATAGTAAACTATCTTATCTCATAATTTGGTTTATTTATCAGGTTTAAATATTTTAGGAATTAAGTTTAGATCAGTTCAAATACTCATGAAATCTCCAATATAATTATTAAAAGTAAGCAGCAGACTCACTTGAGGGGGAGGGTGTAGGGTTTGCATACCGCACCAGGTGCCACCCTTACAGGTGGGGGTGGGGGTGGTGATACCCACCCAGGGTTGTCAACTCAATAAAATTAAGTTTACTGACAAATTTTCTAAATCTCCTCAACTTGTAGGGATAAGAAAAAAAATTCAGGTCCCATTTTAAATTTATGTTGTTGAAACTATGAAGCTAAACAAAATTAAATATCTATCATATTTCTATGAAATGTACTATTTCAAATATCAAATACTAAGACTTATGTTACATTTGACCATGAGACATGATTACCACTTTGAAGAGTTAGGTTACTGTATGACACTCTCACCAGTCTTCTTTTCATAATGAGTATAAAAGTTTAAAGCAAGCTTCAAAGGATGTTAGTGCAATGTCTTATTTTTTTTATGGACATCATAAAATTCTTATAGACATTTACAGAAAATTCATTTGAGGTGATATTTTTATGGACTGTTTGTAAGTTTACGGACGGTTGGCAACCCTGGTGACTCCAAATGAGAAATTTGACAGAACTTACATAAGTTGGTCTCATAACATATCTAAGTTAATACAAGAGCAGGAGACCATCAGATTTGAGTGCAATCAGAATTGAGTGCCTGCCTCAAGAACAGGTTATCGCAAGAGCAGGTGCCACCATCATTTCTAGTGTGTTTTCCTTTAAGTTTATAGTCGATTAGCTTAAGTTTGGGGTGCTCTAAAAGAGTCATGACTTCAGAAAAACATGAAAAAGGAGCTCCTGTCTCAATTCCCATTACAGATTGTTTTAAATCAACAGCAGTTTGAAGGGCTGTTTCATATCTCTGTTTTTTTGTTAAAATATCTATTGTCACCATTTTATTTGTTCAATCTTTTTGCTTAAGGGTCTCCTGCCCAGGCAAAGAAAGACTAAAAATGGTCAATATTTGAAGTTTTAGAATTAAGCCAATTATTTCTCACACTATTTAAGAGGAGCTATTCAAAAATTAAACTTATGAAGAGCTATTTCCGATCTAATATGAAACAGATTTAATGTGATTTTGTCATTTGAAATTGATGAGATGAAGGATGCTAACTTTGATGAAGTGGTTGACTGGTTTTCACCTTTGAAAACTGGGGCAGTAAAGTTGTTACTGTTAAGGTTTCTGTTTCAATAAAAAGTATTTTTTATCCATATTTTAAAAGATGTAAATTCAATTGCTATGTTTTCCTCTTACGTCTTTTTTTTGTTGCTTTGGGGCTTAATTTAAAATAAATCTTCTAAGCCATGGGTTGGCAACCAGACTTGGCAGACATAGTGATTTTCTTTGTCACGCGGATTAAAATAATAATTATGAAAACTAAAAAAATGCGTCTTAAATGGTAGACTTATTATGAGCGTGCTGAATGATTTAGAAGTCTTACTTTGGCAACCCCTGCTCTAAGCCTTTGTGTAGGATCTGGTAAAGAGTATCTCAATGCAATTTGGTGTGGGGGGGTGAGGTAGGGGATGACACGATGAGTTTACCACACCTGTTGACCCCAACTCTAATGACGCCTCTGAAAGTATGTTATGTTTTAGAAAATGATTCACTCAGTAATTCATAGTTATAAAGAAATATAATCACTTTTTAAAAGATTCTGTCTGAAAATTCTGATTAAAAATATATAGTGCCTTCTCATATTTATGACTTAAACTTCAAAATGTTGTTAAAATTTCAGAATGTAAGATGTTATGATATTGTGTATCCTAAATGTTATTCAAACTTAAAGTCACAATGCATGATGTTGCAATGGGAAGTATGTTTTTGGAAGGGAATTGCAGTGTTAATTAACGGAACATTGTATTCCTAGTTAACCTAAAAATCAATTTTGCATGAACAAGTCTACTTATAAATTTACATTTAGTAATGCACTTTTGAACCTTTTGCACCAACTGCTTAAATAACTTTTATACTGAGCTGCAGTATACAGACACACATATTTTTGAAGTTCCTCTGAAATGAAAAGAACTGCAGATCAGGAAATCTAATTTCTTTACTTTATATTATTTTCTAAACGTTTTAAATATGGATTTTCTTTGCCAAATATAAAAGTAGACCTTAGATGTTTAGTTGACACATTGGTTAAGCAACAATGTAAATAGTTTAGCAAGAGTTTTGAAACCTAATTGGTGTTTGAAAGAAAAATTGTTTTTTGAATTGCATTCTGTGGTGGATTGATGGTAGGGCCTATATTTAATGGCATTCAATTGCATTCTGTGGTGGATTGATGGTATATTTAATGGCATTCTGTGGTGGATTGATGGTAGGGCCTTATATATTTAATGGCATTCTGTGGTGGATTGATGGTATATTTAATGGCATTCTGTGGTGGATTGATGGTAGGGCCTTATATATTTAATGGCATTCTGTGGTGGATTGATGGTATATTTAATGGCATTCTGTGGTGGATTGATGGTAGGGCCTTATATATTTAATGGCATTCTGTGGTGGATTGATGGTAGGGCCTTATATATTTAATGGCATTCTGTGGTGGATTGATGGTAGGGCCTTATATATTTAATGGCATTCTGTGGTGGATTGATGGTAGGGCCTTATATATTTAATGGCATTCAAAAGAATTTAGGAAATGCTTGTGATCCATATTAATTTGTTTGTTTAGCTGTGTTAACCTTTTGTTTTTTACTCTCTTTTCTAGACTGATAAATGCAGTTTATGCAGGCACCCAAAACCTCCCCCCTGCATGTAGAAATATCAAACTAAAAGGAAATACAAGTCCTCTACCTTTCAAACAGGTAAAATGAAAATTTAGAATCCCCCTTTCAATACATTATTATAATGATGATGTATACAAGGGGATATAAATTTTCTGTGGTACAAGATGCAGGGTGTGATGGCACTGGATAAATAATATGAAATTGCAAAACCAAATTTGAAAACACACACAAACACAGATAATTATGCTTAATGATCCAGTTTAAAACAATAATTGGGTATTTAAAAATCATAAATATTTCAAGATAATTAAATAAATGATTTTGTGCATAAATTTAGAATTAATTAGATACTAAATACTTGCTTTGTGTGCCATAAAATATTGCACACTGGAATGGGAGGATGACTAAGCTGAGGCAGTTGTAAAAAAACCAGGTGGTTGTTTGTACTGGACTGTGTTAGTTGTTGTAACAAACCGGTTGGTCATTGGAACAGAGTTGCTTTTATAAAAATAGATAAATTATAAGTGCTGCTAATAAGGTTATAAATCTAGTGTAAGTCTGGCCTTGGTGTGTGTTGAAAGTATCCGGAGGACAAGAAATTGGCCATGTGCTGTAGGCACTGGTGTTGAAAGGGTGGCATTTTGGACACCTCCAGTTGTTTTTGCAAGGGGGTGGGTGGGGTAAGAAATATTGTCCTGTACCAGGTATTACTAGCCCTAACAACACCACTGGATGTAGGTTATAAACTTTAAGTATACACTAATATTTCACTGGCTGTAGGTTATAAACTCCTGAAGTATAGGCCTACACTAATAGTTTTGGTTCCAAAAGTTTTACTTTTCCTCAAATGCATAAATAATAATGTTTATCATCACCTGGCATGGTTAGAGTTTTCCAGATATTAGTTCAAATTTTGTGTTTCCAACTGGCATTTACATTTGTAAAATGATTATTAAATGATTTTTTGTTGTTGTATTCCTGTGTATAATTGACCAAAGATTTATAGCACCACTGATAATGAAAGCACAAACTTGCTGACAAGGGTATTTCAAATATTTCCGACAATGTCTTATTCTGCTTTAATTCAATATTTATAATGTAAGTTAATATTTTGTTTTCAAATGCTATATTAATTTGAAATGATTTCTTACTAATCAGATGGAGAACATTGAAATCTTTCTGAAAGGATGTGAGGCCTATGGTGTGCCATCTAACAGTCTTTTCCCAACTGCCGATCTCTTTGATGGTAGGAACATGGCAATGGTTATTTCGACTATTCTGCAATTAGGAACAGAGGTAAATAGTTCAGTATAGTACTTAAGTTTAAACATTTTTGTGAAAATGCGCTTTTGAGTTTATAACTATGAAATAAGTTTAATTTTTAAATAACAGCTCCCACTATAAAATTTTTAACTTTATGTGTCAAATTATTTCAAGGCTAATAACTGTCTTGTAATTTGTAATCACAATTCTGTGAACTACTGAAATCATATGACCTGAAAACTTAAATATAATTTTTTTGTTTAAATGTTTTTCTTAGTTTTGACTTATTGTACTTATACTTTAAGATGGTATATAATAATAAATTTAAAAAAAATAATTTCATTGTCTAAGTCTTTCCAAGGTTTGAGCCTTGAGTATATTTGAAATAAGAAAACAATTATTTCATTTGTTCCCATTCTTTGGTTTAGGAGTATTTTCACCTGCCAAGATGTATGGAATCTTATTTTTTAACATTGTATTCTCACACACTTATCTATCCCATTTTAATACGTTTTTAATGGGACAAAAAAGTCTACTCTATTTGATAGACACATGAAACTTAATTTTTACATAAGCATTCAAGGCTGCTTCTTCTAATTCCCAATACTAAATATGTAAAAGGCTTATTTATTAAGCTGCATATTAAGTGCTAAAAAAAGACACTTTATTGGTCTGGTGAATATTTTACCAAATTTCACAATCCAACTTATTTGTGATTAAACCTTGAGCATGGTGGTGTATTATTTCTTAAATTTCACATCTATATAAAAACATGATATAGTTATATTAAATTTTTAATGTACAGTATTTTAAAATTCTAAGTGTCTAAAATCTGTCATGTAGGCAGGGATTTTTGTTTAAGTAGCTAACTTGTAGAAAGATCCTGAACATCAAATGGCCAAATACCATCACTAACAAAGGTCAACTAGAAAGGACTTACCAGGGGCCTATTGATGAAGGCATCATAAAGAAAAGATAAAAGTGGATAGGGCATAGGCCTACTCTCCAAAAACTCCCAGATAGCATCACCAGACAATCCCTCACATAGAAACCACAGGGAAAGAGAAAGAGAGGAAGGCCAAAGAATACTTGGAGATGGGAGCTAGAGGCAGACGCACAAAATATGGGATAAACCTGGAAGCAACTGGAAAGGAAAGCACTGGACCAAGATGAATGGAAAATTCTTGTGGACGGCCTATGCCCCAGATGGGGTAAAAAGGCATAAGAAGAATAAAGAAGAAGTTAACGTAGCAGAAAAATGTGCCTTCTTTTCATTTTGAGACTAGTAGAGATTATATTATACAAATATTTACAATCTGTGATAATCTGTTGTTAGAAGTTTATCACACAAAAACAAATGAGGACAAAGACATTAAATTGGAAATTATTTTATGTATTTTTATTCTTCAGAGTCAAAGAAATGGATTTAATGGTCCCACCTGTGGACCCAGGCCTTCAGAGAAACATGTTGTTGAATTTACTCAAGAGCAGCTCAGAGCTGGGCAGGGCATTATTGGTCTCCAGGTAATATATTTCCTAGAGGTGAAATTGAAGTAATTCTGGGGCATGGTACTCATTACAGAATATGTATGTGTTATGTAATAATATGTATTGTAATAATTCATTTCTCAGCAAGATGTGCTGTTATAATTGATAAATAAGTGAGATGTACTAATAATTCAATCAATGTATTAATTTGTTGCAGGCCGGTACCAATAAGTGCGCATCTCAGGCAGGTATGAGCTTTGGAGCATCTAGGCACATTGCTGACATCAGGGCTGATGACATGGTCAAGGAAGGTCAGGGTATTATTGGCCTCCAGGCTGGATCTAACAAAGGAGCCTCTCAAGCTGGTAAGATAAATGAATTGTTAAAATGTTGGATTTAAATAGTATAGACCAGTGTTTTTAAAAAATGTAAGCAAATTATTACAAATAACTTTTTTTTTTTTTAACTTAAGCAATTAGAAGTGATTTATATGTTTTCAAACTCAGTTGGTCTCATATAAAGAATTTTGAATATGCCCCATTATTTATCATAAATTTCTATAAGGGGAAAACTTCCTATGGGTGAATTTAAATTTCCAAGGTAAATAGCATACAATAATCCAGAATGACTGTGTGATGAGGTTGAATGCAAGGTGATTGACTCTTGGTTTTAAAATACTATATAACTTGGAATGAATAATGTTCAATGCCAGAAAATATTTCAATTTTACAAACCAAATAAAATGCATAATTTTAAGTGAGAGAAAATATAAATGCTTTGAAAACTTAGCATTCAATCATTTTCCCTATCATAACTTCTCAAATAATATTGATAATTCCATTGTTAGGAAGAAGTAAAAAAAATCAACATACATTAAGGTTCTCTTGATAGACATACTACTAATTCCATGAGTTACCCACATCTAAACTCTGTCACATACATGAAGAAACTTTGATAGCTGAGATTAACTAAAGTCAGGGACGTAGCCGTTAAAAGTTTAAACATTTCTTTTCAAAATATAATGCAGAGTTTGTGCCCCATTTCCAGGGGAAAGAAGCTTACATGAAAGTCATCATAAAAGTCCTTTTTAACAACTTAAACTTGTTTGTTTGGGGGAGGGACAGAGAAGGGGATATGGAATTAGAATCAAGTTAGGTTTGTATCAAGATAAATGATGAAAACTAGTAATTGAGTCTTTTGATACAAATATTGTTCGAAGTTATAACCTAATAGATAACCTTTTACTAAAATATACATTACATTGATTTAAAAGCACTGGTCATAAGTTGGATTAGTGGTTCTCAAGCAATACAGAAATGCTATATTTCAGTGGGAAGATTGAACCAAAATCAAGAATCTAAAGATATTTGATTACAATATTTGGTGTGTCATGTCATTCCAAAAGTAACAATGTGCCAAAACCTTTTTAATTTAAAAAAATACTTTTTTGAAGATTATATATATTAATTATATTAATTTAATTCGAATAATCAGATTGATTTAAATAATTACAGTGATGGAAAAACTTTTGAGAATAATTGAGTTTCAAATGAAAATCTTTATTTTGAATGAATTTTTTAAAAAGAAATTAAGTTAAGAGGTTGATTGTAATTACCCGTAGCAATATTTATCAGTGTTCTCAGAGTTAAAATAACAAGTTTTAGTTTAAACCTTATCATTGCAAAAAGAGAAAGCTTCCATTTATTTCATTTAAGAGCTTTTTAAGAATTAAAAAAAAATAATTGTTGAAGCTTTATCTTTTTGTGTCACCTCCAAAATAAAAATGACTTGTTTAGATACCTTGAATTGTTATTCTTTTAGAGAAACCATATTTTTTATCCATTATTTAACCCCATCTTGCGCATAATCATATTTACATTATATCTATTTATTTACAAACTCATATACATTTATTGCCTGCTTTAACCTTCACCTTAAGTTTTCATTTACTTGCACTTTTGTTATGATTTCTTGCATCAACCTTGCATCAACCTTATAATCAAATACTTTCTTCAATGAACTTGTCAATTAGACAATGAGCTTTTCAACATTTATATAATCTGACTTTGCACAATCATTACTCCCAAGTTCACAGACTTAATCATAAAACCAAGAGATCATTTAAAATGTGAATGGAACATTTCATTAAAAAAAGTTACTCAGCCTATGTTTTCATTAAATAATATAATAGTTTCTATTTAATAAACTCTTTATTCCCCGATGAGTGTTCTCCAGTTGTTGATAAAGTTGGTGTAACTAATAGCTACTTAAAGAACTACAGTGTTTAGCATGTCAATTGTAATAGAAATCTAAGAATGATTTTTTTAAATGAAATATTCTTATCTGTTTTTTTGTTTTTTTTCATATGTAAAATGAAACTTTATTATAATTGACTAGCCTTAATTGTTAATCATGGATAAAATAGTTTTAAACCTCTATATTATCCTTGACTTGGTTTCCCACACCCATTGGCTGCCCTTCTCTTCATATGAAAAAAGTTTTTGCGCAGAGATATTAAGCTTATTTAAACAAGTACGGAGTGCACAGATAAAATAAGCTTACTTTTACAATCAGCAAGATGCAACTGGATCTCAAAATTCTATTTGGTTTTGGGCAGAATCCTAAGCCACTTAATGAATTCATAAAGATATCACAAATGATTGGAACCTCATCACAGACTTTCAATGAATCACTAATGAATAGCTGAACTTGCCATCTTTCAAGAACATCATGAAGTACAAAGCTGTGGAATTATGTCTGTTTTCACCTGTTAAATGAATGGATGTCATCTGCCCTTGATCATCATTTAATGCTAGGTCATCACATGGGAAGAATTTTTAATGAAACTTTCACTCGGTTGCTGTTTGAGCTTAAACATTTTTTTATTGATTTTTTTATTAAAAAATGATTAGCATCAAAAAGATACATGAAACACAAGAAGATGTTTTACTGTAATGTATTGCATTAGAAAATGTGACATTGTCCACATTCCCTCTGATTTTCTCTTTTTTTGTATTTAAAGGCAAAGATCGTCCCTGCCTCTGAGAAAGTAATGCGCTTTCCCCCCGTTTCTTTCCCGTTTTTCTTCCGATAGGTATGTCATTTGGTGCCGTGAGGCATATAGCTGATATTCGGGCAGACGAGTCCACTAGAGAAGGACAAGGCATCATTGGCTTACAGTCAGGTACCAATAAATTTGCCTCACAGACTGGCATGAGCTTTGGATCTATTCGTCATATTGCTGATATTCATACTGATGATGCAAGTAAAGAAGGTCAAGGAATAATTGGACTACAGTACGGTACCAATAAATTTGCTAATCAAAATGGAATGAGCTTTGGATCTATTAGACACATTGCTGATATTAGAGCTGATGAGTCCAGCAAAGAAGGTCAAGGAATAATAGGACTCCAATCTGGAACAAACAAATTTGCATCACAAACAGGAATGAGTTTTGGTGCTGTAAGACACGTCTCTGATATTCGAGTAGACGATTCAACCAAAGAAGGTCAAGGAATAATTGGACTACAGTACGGTACCAATAAATTTGCTAATCAAAATGGAATGAGCTTTGGATCAATTAGACACATTGCTGATATTAGAGCTGATGAGTCCAGCAAAGAAGGTCAAGGAATAATAGGACTCCAATCTGGAACAAACAAATTTGCATCACAAACAGGAATGAGTTTTGGTGCTGTAAGACACGTCTCTGATATTCGAGTAGACGATTCAACCAAAGAAGGTCAAGGAATAATTGGACTACAGTACGGTACCAATAAATTTGCTAATCAAAATGGAATGAGCTTTGGATCAATTAGACACATTGCTGATATTAGAGCTGATGAGTCCAGCAAAGAAGGTCAAGGAATAATTGGACTTCAATCTGGAACAAACAAATTTGCGTCTCAAACAGGAATGAGCTTTGGTTCTATTCGACACATTGCTGATATTCATACTGACGAGGCAAGTAAAGAAGGTCAAGGAATAATTGGGCTTCAGTCTGGGACTAACAAATTTGCCAATCAATCAGGAATGAGTTTCGGTGCTATCAGACATATAGCTGATATCAGAGCTGATGAGTCCAGCAAAGAAGGTCAAGGTATAATTGGACTTCAGTCAGGCACAAACAAATTTGCGTCTCAAACAGGAATGAGCTTTGGATCTATTCGACATATTGCTGATATTCATACTGATGAGGCAAGTAAAGAAGGTCAAGGAATAATTGGTCTTCAGTCTGGGACTAACAAATTTGCCAATCAATCAGGAATGAGTTTCGGTGCTATCAGACATATAGCTGATATCAGAGCTGATGAGTCCAGCAAAGAAGGTCAAGGTATAATTGGACTTCAGTCAGGCACAAACAAATTTGCTAATCAGTCTGGAATGAGCTTTGGATCTATTCGACATATTGCTGATATTCATACTGACGAGGCAAGTAAAGAAGGTCAAGGAATAATTGGGCTTCAGTCTGGGACTAACAAATTTGCCAATCAATCAGGAATGAGTTTCGGTGCTATAAGGCATATTGCTGATATTCATACTGATGATGCAACCAAAGAAGGGCAGTCTATTATTGGTTTGCAAGCAGGATCAAATAAGGGAGCTTCCCAAACTGGTAGGTTTATAAATATTACACCACTTTCCACTTTAACTAGGTATGTCCATGGGATCAGTGAGACACATTGCTGATATCAGAGCTGATGACATGTCTAAGGAAGGCCAGTCCCATATTGGTCTACAAGCTGGCTCTAACAAGGGAGCCTCTCAGGCTGGTAAGAACTTATGTGTCAACTCTCATGTAACACTCATGTGTCAGCTCTCATGTAGCAGTTATGTGTCAGCTCTCATGTAACACTTATGTGTCAGCTCTCATGTAACACTTATGTGTCAGCTCTCATGTAACACTCATGTGTCAGCTCTCATGTAAGGTGAAAAAAATGATAAAGCTTTTATTCTATGAATGAAAACAATACTGCTTGAATTGCTTGGTATATTTAACGTTCACTTACATAAATATATTCTGATATGGTACTAGGCAAAGCATTCTTAAATATATTGGATTTTTTCTTTTTACATAATTCAACAATAACCTTGCATATTATAATGGTTTTTAATTGTTTTATGATGCTATATGATTTCCCAAAGTCTAATAACCTTATTTGCAAATAAGCATGTTACAAAACCTCCATGGCATTGAAATCCTATGTCCAATATCAAAAATTCAATAAGAAATGTGTAAAATACATATTTTTAAAAATATATTCTGAAATCCTGGACATTAGCTTTTATCAATTTTATAATAAATTCAGATTACAGGAAAACAACTTTTTGGAATTTTGTAATGATGACAGCATGACTTACTGTCATTGTTCAATGTGCAAGGTTCAATATTGAGACTGTTCATGAATCTAACCAACTGACATCTCGAGAGGATGCAGGTTTCAAAAGATTCCAGCTTTTCGGCTATTTGCAGCAAAGTCTCTGACATCAATTAGTTCACCTTTTTCCAATATTTTCATTACATTGTTGAAATAATAATTGTTTGAGTAAGATGACACTGCTGAAATAGAGATTGAATATTTAGCAAAGGTTGTCTTAGTAATTTACACTTAGTATTAATTAGATTAAATATTTTTCATGGCATGATAAGACACAGCTTTATAACCAAATGGAAGATATGGTAACGGTAATGAAATATCCATTATTTGAAGGAGAAAAATGAAACAATAAGAAAAGCATGAATGTAGTTTCAATATTAAATAGCATCACTTTATGGACACATTTACATAGGCATGATCTCTGACTATAACTTTGTCCTACACTTAAATGTCCTGAATAGTTACCCATATAAATGTCCTGCATAATTACCCACATAGATGAACAGCATAACTGTCAATGTATGCCAATGCTATTGTTTTGCTTTCTTTTCATATTATTCATAACTTCATTTCAGTAGTTGAATGTTCCTATATGTCATTGTTAATAACCTTTTTAATGATCTTCAGGTATGTCTTTTGGTGCTGTGAGGCACATTGCAGACATTAGAGCAGATGATATGTCCAAAGAAGGTCAAACTGTTATTGGCCTTCAGGCTGGATCTAACAAGGGGGCCTCACAGGCTGGTAGGGAATTTTTCTTGAACTTTCTTGAGTGCAAAGTAGTTTATTTTAAAATATCCAGTTTTCAGGAAATGATTTCATTTCAAACTTAAACTAACATATGGAAATTTAGTTCAACTGACCTTTGACTGTTCAGCATAAAATAAATGTACATTCTATCTGGAAAATAATTGTTAAATTAAAGATGTACAAAATGGTTAGTTTTACAAAGTACAAAAGTCACTCACTTTGTCTATCAAAAGTGTCTAATAAAAGTGTTGGGCGCATGCACACTTATTTTATTGTGTTGGGAGTATGCACAAGTATTTTATTGTGTTGGGAGTATGCACAAGTATTTTATTGTGTTGGGAGTATGCACAAGTATTTTATTGTGTTGGGGGTATGCACAAGTATTTTATTGTGTTGGGAGTATGCACAAGTATTTTATTGTGTTGGGAGTATGCACAAGTATTTTATTGTGTTGGGAGTACGCACAAGTATTTTATTGTGTTGGGAGTATGCACAAGTATTTTATTGTGTTGGGACTATGCACAAGTATTTATTGTGTTGAGAGTACGCCCACATATTTTATTGTGTTGGGAGTACGCACAAGTAATTATTGTGTTGGGAGTATGCACAAGTATTTTATTGTGTTGGGAGTATGCACACGTATTTTATTGTGTTGGGAGTGTGCACAAGTATTTTATTGAGTTAGGAGTATGCACAAGTATTTTAATGTGCTGTGAGTATGCACACATATTTTATTGTGTTAGGAGTACGCACAAGTATTTTATTGTGTTGAGAGTACGTACAAGTATTTTATTGTGTTGGGAGTATGCACAAGTATTTTATTGTGTTGTGAGTATGCACAAGTATTTTATTGTGTTGTGAGTATGCACAAGTATTACAATTTTAATGTGTTGTGAGTATGCACACATATTTTATTGTGTTGGGAGTATGCACAAGTATTTTATTGTGTTGGGAGTATGCACAAGTATTTTATTGTGTTGGGAGTATGCACAAGTATTTTATTGTGTTGGGGGTATGCACAAGTATTTTATTGTGTTGGGAGTATGCACAAGTATTTTATTGTGTTGGGGGTATGTACAAGTATTTTATTGTGTTGGGAGTATGCACAAGTATTTTATTGTGTTGGGAGTACGCACAAGTATTTTATTGTGTTGGGAGTATGCACAAGTATTTTATTGTGTTGGGAGTATGCACAAGTATTTTATTGTGTTGGGAGTACGCACAAGTATTTTATTTTGTTGGGAGTATGCACAAGTATTTATTGTGTGTCCAGCATCCTAACCACATATTTATCATTTATGTATTTTTAACATAAATTTAACAAAGTCAGCTGGTTAGTAGTGTCACAATAACCACTATTGCATTTGAATCTATCAGGCATGTCATTTGGTGCTGTAAGACACATTGCAGACATCCGTGCTGATGATGCCAGCAAAGAAGGCCAGTCCCATATTGGTCTGCAAGCTGGATCTAACAAAGGTGCCTCTCAGTCTGGCATGTCATTTGGTGCTGTAAGACACATTGCAGACATCCGTGCTGATGATGCCAGCAAAGAAGGCCAGTCCCATATTGGGCTACAGGCTGGATCCAACAAGGGTGCAAGCCAGGCTGGTAAGTCCATGTCTGAACTTACAGATTTTTTACCCCTCATTATGACCTTCCAACAAACACCTTAAACGTCTGATTTTCCGAAGACTATAATTTTTCAATCGTCATAAAAATCCGAAAGCTACAAAAAAGAAAAAGAAAAAAAATCAGGTACGACAGGAAGGTGTGCATATCGAAGATGCCACTTCCTTTGTTCCGGATGAATAAGTTCTCAGTCTTGTCACGTGACTGCTACTAGTCTATCAGAGTTTACGGTACCTCATTTCAACAAATGCAAGATAGTCTTGACAATTACTTGAAAAAGTAATATGTTCAATTCTACACAGAAATGCTAGAACCATTTTTTGTACATTTTTTATGTACATATATTTTTTTGCCGGCATCCGTCCGTCACAATGTGGCAATGGTGTGAATATTACAGGACAAAATCCACAAGGCCTGTGATTATTCTTTGAGGTTTATAAGCTGGATTATAAGCAAATTGCCTCTCTCCACGCTGTTGGATAACCCAAGAGAACATCATTTGGATTATACAGCTTGGCACCAGGAGTTGTCACAATGTTTTATTGTACCTATGTTAGCCGCCTACGGGACTCCATCTCCGGGTTTTGAATTTAGAGTTTTCTTCTCTTAGATGAGTTGCCATCCAAGGTTAATGAGTCTCATCCACCCGGGATGCTGGTGATGTTTTTTGCTTGACTGGGCTTGAAATCCAGACCACCAACTTGAGATTTGCTCAGTTTAGACCACTCGGCCACCCAGCACCCATATATAATGAGCAAATGGTTAAAAAGTGACAATGTTAAATACAGTGTGACATGCCTGCCGGATAAATATCTTCCACACTATTAGTCCTGTCGCCGTAAAGACACTGTCTTGTTTTTATCAAAGCGAACCGCGATCTCCAAATTATTCTTCAATCATCAATTGATCCGATTTTAGGCTAAAAAATAATTCAGTTGTTTTGTGACTTGTTTGTTTGTTAATGCTTTTCTTAATTAGATGGATAAATCTATTGAAAGTGGTGGGTACAATGATATCAACAAACATATTTTAACCCCAAAAAAACAACATACAGCAGCTAAAAGCAATTAATCTATGACATCCATGTCTAATTTTTTTGCTTAGGAATAGGACGATTCAATTATCAGTATCAGAAGATTTGTTGACCACCTTTCTTATTGAAGGAAATATTTCTCAAGCCAACTCTGATTGTTTTAATGCCAGAGTCAAAGAAATATTTCCAGACTGTGTGTTTTGGTAAGAGGAGACTGATAAGTTGTTTTGTTAATGCTATATGCCTTGCTCATATTTTTTCTTCCGATAAGGTATGTCGATGGGCACCCAGCGTCATATTTCTGACATCAAAGTAGATGATATGAGTGCAGCATCGAAGGCCACCATCAACCTACAGTACGGCTCCAACACAGGCGCCAACCAGCAAGGAATGAGCTACGGAGGTCGCAGAGACATCATGGGAAAATAACTCATTTAGAAGAAGAGCATTTGAAACATATGAGAGGATAGTCTTTGATCTATGGGAATTTGATAATGCAATAAATTTAGATCTTAACTAAATGACCCAGGATTCTACCTGGCCATTGGGTAATTGGGTCACAATACTTTTTTTGTGATACTTCAAGCTTTTTATTAAATGTAATTTTTTAGTCTTTGTGTGGAAAGATGTTTATTGTGTACATGTTGGTTGACAGTAGCCTACATCACAAGCAAGGATAAGGTAATAGAAAGGTGTGATTCTATGACTTTCATCTTTATTCCATGATAGAAATCTCAAACACATAAAAGAAATGGAAAATCTGCTTTACTTCATACTTAAATATGTCGAAGCTAGAGAGGCTAATGTAAGAATAGATTTCTTGAGTAAGTTGAAACCTTAATGCTATATTTAATGATCAGTTAAACGAGCCAGATGCTTTCTTGAAGATATTTGGCTAAAATGTTTGCTCCCAGCAAAAAAAAAACTTGCTTTAGTGAGTAATCTACTCTTGACACAAAGGCTTCTTCTCTTTTATTGCTTATTTTTATTCATGTGTTTTTTCATGTCATTGTCTTTTTGTTTGTTTAAAACTGTCTATGAAAGATCGAGTGCTGTATTCATATAGTAAGGAGTGTCTTGTCCAACTTGTTTGTATTTCCATTCAGAGATAAAGTGATTTGCATAAATATTTATTGTAGACATTTTTTATCATACAAGATAATTTTGATATATTTATACCACTGCTTTGGATATCTGCAATTTTTAATTTTGTTCAATTGAATCTATTGTTTTTGTTGGTCAAGTTTGACAAGAGGAAACATTGTTAACAGCTGACCGTTTTCACCAAGAAATCTATTTGAGATAGGAGTGTTAAAAATCCCACTGAAATGGGCATAAATGAGATGGTCAACTTTTTGCTGCAATGACTCACTGAGAGCATTTCATGACGTCGGCACAGATAGATATATTTTCTTAATGTCTATGCAATTTTTTCTACCTGGCTATGCATTTCATGTCCTGCTTCTTTTCTTTGCTGCTGGCTGTACATATACATATTGATGATTATATTTGTAAACAAGAAATGAACACTTTTGTAATACTAAAAATATATTTCTCTTTTAGCTTCGACAATTACTGGAGTTTGTTCCTTTTCCTAAGACTTGGATAAAAGTGTGCTTGGCTGAAGTCAGTTTATTTGGTATCTTATATAAATTTATTGGGGACTGAACAAGTCAGTTTATTTGGTATTTTATATAAATGTATTGGGGACTGAACAAGTCAGTTTATTTGGTATCTTATATAAATTTATTGGGGACTGAACAAGTCAGTTTATTTGGTATCTTATATAAATTTATTGGGGACTGAACAAGTCAGTTTATTTGGTATCTTATTGAGAGTGATTGTTTACATTTTAGTAATCCTTTGGCCAAATTCCCACCAACACCACCACTCTTATAAACAAAACACCACTACACTTTAGTGGTCCTTTGGCTACATTTCACCCAACATTCTGGAAACAAAACACCACTGTACTTTAGTAGTCATTTGACCACATTCCCACCACCACTCTTGAAAACAAAACACTACTAGACTTTAGTGGTCCCTTGGCCACATTCCCACAACCACTCTTGTAAACAAAACACCACTACACTTTAGTGGTCCTTTGGCCACATCCAGCCCACATTCTGGAAACAAAACACCAATACACTTTAATAGTCCTTTAGCCACATTCCCACCACCACTCTTGGAAACAAAACACCACTACACTCTAGTGGTCCTTTGGCCCCATTTCCCCAGTGTCTTAAAGGACACATATTTCTGATAAATTATCTGTGCTCTTAAATTAATTGTTTTAAAAAAGATTTCCTTGGTTACTCTAAGGAGCTAATTCTTGTAGCTACTTTTTTTTCATTGTCCGATAATTACACTTCTAATTAAGAACTCATTGAAAAATCTTGACAAGAAAAGTTTTCAATTTCCAATTTTATCCTTGTCAACGAATTTCAAGAGGTGCCAGATAAACATTAGAACTAGGTATGCCAAGCTATAATTCATAAACAGGACAAAATATTTTGATGTTTCGTCTTAGAACAGGGGTGTCAAACTCGATCGCTCGGCGGGCCAAAACTCAAATCACATGTAAGCCAAAAAATATTCATTAAATATCGTAACATACTTATTGCTAACCACAAAACTAACAAAGTATTATGATCCCCTCCACTGATTGTCTTCAGTCGGGACAAAAATCTAGGTGACCTTCTGGTTCATAGTCACCTTCGAGTTGACCGTCTTACATTGGGACTAAACCATGCTCAAGAAGCCGATCTAGGACGTGTCCCTAAACAATCCAAACAGAAAGGATGCACCTCCCTAAGGTACCGTTACCATCAAGGAGGGTTTCACATGCGTCAGTCGGAATGTGATACATGTGTGATTGTGTGCCGTAGATGTCATTCTAGTTAGATAGGCGAAACAGGGAGAAGATGGGCATATTGGTTCAAAGCAAATCTTCGTGATATTGGAAAGGGTAACATTTTCGTAGTCTCTTAACACTTCAACAGAGGGTAACATAAAGGTGCATTAGATTTATCCATTACGGCACTAATTTCTTGCACAAACACACCGGAGAGAGTGAAAATGGAAAACAAATTTATTCTGCTATTCGGTATCATATCTACTCGTGGTATGAATCAATTACTCTTATACTAATGTTCTCAATTTCCCTGCATTTCTTTTTTTCCCCCTTATCCCTTAGATTTTATGTATCCATAAATATTTTGGTCCGTTAAGATTCTCTCCCTTAGAATAAGGTACCACAGAACCAATGTTTATATTCTTTTACTTCCTGTATCCTACTTCCGGCAAAAAAAGGAAATTTAAAAATTTTTTGTTTTTGTTTTTACTGGGATCTGATATTTGTTATATTTGATTTTGTCTTCTTTTCCGATGAAGGCTCTTAGCTGAAACGTCACTAATCGTTGTGCCTGTTTATGAATTAAAGTTTGGCACACCTAGTTCTTATATTATCTTTTACACACCTTGAATGCAGTCCATTAATTATTATCAGATAAACATTCTATTGAAAGATAGCGTAGATAAACACTACATTGAAACACAGCTTAGATAAACATTATCAGGAAGACAGCTTAGATAAACATTCTATTGAGAGACAGCCTAGATGAAAACTCTATTGAGAGACAGCCAAGATAAACACTCTATTGAGAGACAGCGTAGATAAACACTCTATTAAGAGACAGCCTAGATAAACACTCTATTGAAAGACAGCCTAGATAAACATTCTATTGAGAGACAGCCTAGATGAACACTCTATTGAGAGACAGCCTAGATAAACACTCTATTGAGAGACAGCCTAGATAAACAATCTATTGAGAGACAGCCTAGATGAACACTCTATTAAGAGACAGCCTAGATAAACACTCTATTGAGAGACAGCCTAAAAAAAACCACTCTATTGAGAGACAGCCTAGATGAACACTCTATTAAGAGACATCCTAGATAAACACTCTAATGAGAGACAGCCTAGATAAACCCTCTATTGAGAGACAGCCTAGATAAACCCTCTATTGAGAGACAGCCTAGATAAACACTCTATTGAGAGACAGCCTAGATAAACACTCTATTGCAAGACAGCATAGTATGCGTGGGCGGGGGGTGGCATGTATTTATTGGATTCACTCTATTGAAACACTCTAATGAAACACTCTATTGAAACACTACATTGAAACACTCTATTGAAACACTCTATTGAAACACTCTAATGAAAGGTAAGCACCGAAAGACAGCGTCGGATACAGGGTAATGCAGAATGGGGATTCAGAAACTAGAAGTTGGTCTGAAGGGGAAACTGTCCTTGGTGCCAAGCGCAGGGTGGCGCATTATTAGTCAATTATCCATAACGTCTGCCTCGGGTGACACATTTTTTATTGTGTGGATGGGGGGTGACATGTAATTATTGAGTGGGCGGGGTGGCATGTAATTATTGTGTGGTCGGGGGCGCCATGTAATTATTTTGTGGTCGGGGGCGCCATGTAATTATTGAGTGGTCGGGGGCGCCATTTAATTATTGAGTGGTCGGGGGCACCATGTAATTATTGAGTTGTCGAGGGCACCATGTAATTATTGAGTGGTGGGGGCGCCATGTAATTATTGAGTGGTCGGGGCGCCATGTAATTATTGGGTTGTCGGGGGCGCCATGTAATTATTGAGTGGGTGGGGGCGCCATGTAATTATTGAGTGGGCGGGGAGTGGCATGTAATTTTTGTGTGGGCGGGGGTGGCATGTAAT